AAAAAAACAATCATAGAACAGGTTTTACGGAAATATCATATACACATGTATTTTCTAGTTTGTTTGCATTCGATTTGTTACTTCCTTTATTTCTACGTGCCGTTCCGTTTGTCTCACTTCATTTTTCCATTGACTTTGTATTCATTTATACTATCGTCATTTTAAAAGAAGAAAAAGAGAAAATTTCTATTCATTTATGTTTTTCTCTATCACAACTATCGTCCTCACTTTTCTTTGTATGACAACCGTGTATTTTCTTTTTCAAAAAAAAAAAACGTCCGACAGGCAAGCAAAATTCATTATTACTTAACAAAGTCTTTCTCTCTCTCTCTTCTCGTCAAGCATGTAAATTTGCATTATGAAATTTTACTACGTCCTGTAAGAGAGAAAGGGAGAGAAAGAGAGACAGAGAGAGAAAGATTTGAAATCTTTAAGACAAAAAAAAACGAGAGAATAAAGAAAGTTACAAGTGTTCTTTCTTCAAACACTTTATCGTTGTCGTCGCCATCGTTCTCCATGCTGCCCACACATAAAGTTGCTTAGCACCGTGTCGTTGTGTCGCAAGGAATCAGTTTCTATTTGAAAAAGCACACATAAAACATACATACACACAAAACTTGTTTCAATAGAACAATCATCATTTTATTCTTCTTTGCTTTTCTCTCTCTCTCTCTCTCGTTCTCTCGCTTGTTTTCTTAGTATCGTTATGGTAAGGTATAAGGAAAGAAGATTATAATAAAACGCTTTGATGACAAACTAACAAAGCATATTTCCGAATGAGTTAGAAACAAAGAAAAGTGATAGTGATAGTGATAGCAAGGTAAACCTTGTTGTATCGTCTGATATTACCTAAGAGTGCGATAAGCAATTTGCATAAGAGCTGCTTGTGATAAGTGTCATTCTTTTTTTTTTCTTTTCTTTACTACTAAAAAAAAAGTCCTCTCCTATTTCACATCAAGTTAAATTATTTCCTCATCGTTAAATTTTTTTTACGAGACACAAAAAAAAAGAAGAAGCGAAGCAAACTCACACCTTTTTTTACGTGCTTTTATTTTAGATTTAAACTATGTAATATAAGCCATCATTTTTTTCCTCTTTAATAGAGGAAATCAATGATATAATTATCTTTGTTTTATTTTTAATGTCGTGGTATTAATTGTTGTCTCATTTATAATACAACAAATATCGTTGTATCAAACACAAAATTACTCGCCGTTATTCCGTCCATTAGTGAGATTGATCTTGACAACATGGATCAACATCAATTTCAATGAACTTTCTTTGTTTCAATTTTTTCTTTTTGTTTTATTCTTATATTTGTTGTATTGTTTGAAATACGTTGGAGCAAGCGCCATCAAAGCAGCATAAGCCTGTGATATGTTTTGTACATGAAAAATATATACATGTGTGTACGTGTGTGTGTGTGTGTGTGTGTTTATGTTTATTAAAACGACAAAAAAAATTACAACTAAATTTTTTTCCTATTTATTTTTAACATAATGGTCTTAATTCTTTTAGCCAAGTTGGTATATATCGTTCAGGATAACGTTTTTCATTTATAGTTCGAAGAAATTCTTCACCTTGTTCATTATATCTTGTCCAATATTCCCACGTATCTTTATCAAGTTGATCAATACTAATTTTATCTAATTTTTCTAAACCAAATAGCCAATCTGGATAAGTAGAATCGGCTTTGATTTCAACAAGTGGTTGTTCTTTTTTATAATTCAAACCACAACAATAATTAACTAATTTTTCAGGATCTGTTTCAGCATCGAGATATTGTTGAACTGTTGTTGTTATTACTGCACCTTTTTCTATTATACATATACATTTGATATTTAAAAGTTCGACGAATAGCTTAACTTACTTGCTATACCACCGCCGAGCTTCAATGCAGCACCCGATGGGCCCGTAGCAGTTTTAGTTACAGCATAATGACGTAGAGTAATTAAAGAAATTGGCGGTACTCGTAAATATCTTAAAGTAAACATTTATCTGGAATAGATGTTTGAAAAGATTAACTTTTTGTCATGTCTATGTTATCTTCTGTTATCATATGATATAAATGATCAAGTTTAACAAAAAAATAACAATATAATAGAACTTTACAGAATATACAAACACAAAAATATATTGAAATAAATGAATAAAGAAAATAACTATAGGAATTTTCTGATTATTGTTTTTAATCCATTGTATTTAATGGTTCAGTTGATACAATTGGTTCATTTGTAATGTTTTGCTCTGATGATGTAATTATTTCATCTGTTGTTTTTGGTTCAGTTGATTCATTTGTTTCAGTTATCAATTCGTTTGTTTCAGTTATCAATTCATTTGTTTCAGTTATTATTTCATTTGTTTCAGTTATTAATTCATCTGTTTCAGCTAATTCATTGGTTTCCGTTGGTGTTTCATTAGTACAATTAACATTTTCTAAACTATGACACATTTCAAGTTCTTCATTTAATTCAGCTATTTTCTTTTCGTCTTCAGTTAATTCAGCAAAGACAAGTTGATCAGTTGATTGCTGTTCATCCCATACAATTGGAAATGTTGTAACACGTGGTTCATCGACTGCAATAGTTCGATTTAACTAAACAAAGGAAGAAATACATAATATACGAATTTTTCATATCATATTTACTTTTTCAAAATCAACTTTAACTGGTGGATTTTCTCGTAATTCAGGATCATCATATTCTGTAAAGACATAATAACCAACACGTGCAAATTCTTGATTACGATATAGAGCTAATAGAAGAACAACTGATACATCAACATCACTATCATTAGGTAATTTTTTTGGATCAGGTGGTGGTGCCTATTATTGTTTTTTTTATAAAAGAAATTCAACGTATAATAAACATACTTCAAATACAAATTTATATGTTCCTGGAGCAACAGCATCAATGACTACAACATCAAGTACTTGATCTTGTTTGTCTTCTTTTGCATCACCAACATAAACAAGTTTAAATTCAAGTTCTACAACAGATTTTCTTTTTTAAATAAAACAAGAAAAAAACCTTTTTTTTATTTAATTCTTCTACCTTGTGTTAATTGTTCTAAACATTCAAATTTTATTTCAAATGTATAATTTGATAAGAATTTAGCTGGATTATTATGAACAGACACATTGCTTATCATAACTTTTACCATGTTGATATTTTCAGGGGATGAAGAAAAAAGTTTATATTTATCTAAAAAAAAGCAAGAATAAAACAATTATTTTATTTTCTATTTACAATGAAATCATATGTATATATAAATGTATATTGCATTTCAAAAATAAAAATCTTTTTAAAAATCAATAATTTTTACTCTTTTTGCATGTTTTTTTAAAGTTACTTTTCCATTTTCACTTATTTGATGACAACCAGTTAAATCAATTGTTTCAATTGATGGACAAGCTTGACCAATTAATGATAAATTTTTATCATTAATTTTGTCACATAAACTTATATCTAAATATTTTAAATCGGGTAATGAATGGATACCAAAACGAAATAAACGATTTGTTAATTGTATACATTGATGTAATTTAAGTACTCGTAAATATTTTAAATTATTTATCGAAGAAAAATATTCATTGAATAGTTTATGTTCAGTTAATATCGATAATATTCGATCGGAAGATTCATCATAGTCAAAATTGAAATCTTTTAAACGAAGTTTAATACATGATGATGATAAATAAGTTGGTAATTGACATTTACATAATGTTTGATGTGTTATAGTATATGTCCATATTGATAAATCATCAATAAATTGTCGATTAATTATTATCTGTTCTAACCATTCAATTGATTTACCAATACCACATATAGATAAACCAATAAAAGCAAAATCATTTATATTAATATTATCATTTATAGTTAATTCTTCTAATGATAAAAGATATTTATTTATTAATAATAATGAATGATTTGTTAATGATGGACAATTATTTAAATTTAAATGTGTTAAAGATGAAACAAATAATGATTGTGTACATATAAATTTAATAGTATCATCAGTTGTATTTCTTGGTAAAGATAATTTTTTTAAATTTATTAAACTATTTCGAAATAAATTTATAAGGTCAATTTCATTCAATGGATATAATGTTTGGATATCAAGATCATTTAATTGTTTTAATGATGATAATGATATATCTGACGATGGATGAAGAACTAAAAAGAAAAGGTTCATTTTCATCCGGGCTAAACTTCGTATTCTCAAATAACTATATAAATACCTGGAAAACGTATTTTTTGTTGTTGAGTTCCATAATACTTTATTGGTGCATTTAAAAATACGCATAAATGTTTTAAATTAGATGCATATTCATGAATAGCAGAAAATAGTGGTTGACAACCAGTATGATCAAGTACAAGACGACCAACAACAAGTGTTTCTAATTTATTATCAAAAAGAAGAAGAAAATGAAGTAATGTTGATACTGTTAAAGTTCCATCAATATGAAAATAAGTTAATTTCGATGGTATTGTAAGAAATAAACGTTTTATTTGTGTATCACATGATAGAGTTGGTTCAAATGATATTGCTAATGCTTGAAAACATTCTTGATGTTGTTGAATATATGAACAAACATTTTCAAATGTAAGAAATATACGATTTTCACTAGAATTTAAAGATGAACGAAGTGGAATGCCAAGTAAATGTAATGCTTCAATATTTGGAAATGATTTCATTAAATGATTAAATGAATAATCTGATAAATGTATATTACCATTTAAATTAAGTCGTTTTATAGAAGGATAAATTTTCAAATTTTGTGAAAAATTATTTGATAAGAAAAAGAATTTATAATTACTTAAATCAAGTTTTTCTAATGATGTACAATATGATAGTAATTTATAAAATATAAGAGAATCAATTAATGTTGTGCAACCAGAAAATGATAAACTGGTTAATTTATTTAAACATAATTGAAATGAATCAGATGTTTGAAGTAGTGTATCAAGATTAGTAAAATTAAAATTAGATAATGATAAATGATCGATACCTTGAATAGATGTAACTTTTTCAAGTAGTGTTATACCAGAAGAAGATTTAGGTGAAAGAACAATTGGATGTAAATGAGAATAAGATGAAAATGATGACAAACGTATATATATTGTTCGACTTGTTAAACGAAGACATTTCCAATCGGTTAGTGTTAAATGAGCCAGGATAAGATCGAATATCTTTCAAAAGTAAACGGAAATTTTCAACAATCTGTTTTTTCTTCAACAACTTACTTCAACTGGTAACTTTTCCATTTGTTTCTTAAGCCCACTTCTATCAAAAAAAACATAAAGAAAAAAGAAAGAAAAACAGAATATAACAGATCGAAAAAACTCTTCTGATAAGGGACAATCTTTTCTATGCATCGTTTATTTAATATAGAACAGAACACATGATTTCTTTTTTTTCTATATCTTCTGCTCATTTGTTTTCTCTTTTTTTTCTGTTTGAAAAAAAAAAGAAAAAAAAATAATATGACAAATAAACATAACAAAAAAAAATAATAGACAACTTTAGTTTATCAATGAACCTAATCATTAGACAAGATATAAAGTATACAAGAGACAAAAATGATATAACACACATGCACACACACATATAATGTATATTTCTTTTTTTTTCTAACAAAAAAAAATAAATGTAAATAACAACATATAGATTATATACAAATCAAACAAGAAAGTTTAACATTATTTACTTCCAGTTGCTTTAACTGAAGTAGCAGCATTTTGAAATAATGAAAATCTATTAAAAATAAAGAAAAATATAAATATTCGTTTTTTTTAATTAGTTATTTTACTAACGTTTCAAAATCAAGTTTTTGTTTGGATATTCCACTTAAAGCAAATTCTTCACTAACAATCGGTACTCCTTTTTTATATAATTCTTCATATTCATTTTTATGTATTTGAGCAACAATACAAATTAAATCTTTGCCTGGTTTGTTCATATTAATTTTTTCAATAAATTTTCCACCAGCTGCTTCAATTATATCTTTTAAATCTTCATAGGGTGGTGATGTATCTTTCGTACAAAAGATTTTATAATTTTCAAATATTGGATGTTGTTTAGCTAGACGAACGCTTTCACGTAATTGAAAACCATAACGTGTTTCAGCATTTGTATCTTCTAAATAATATTTATCATATGGAATATAACGATTTTCTTTAATCATAGCTTCAATCCATGTTGGCGATAAGATATGTGCACCACGTGCAAGACACATGAAAAATTTTTTCGTACGTCTTATACGATCAACAACAAGTGCATCAACATGACAAGATTCATCCATAATTTCAAAACCTAATTTATTTAATGTAGCTAAATGATTTTGATCAAAATTCTAGAAATAAAATAAAATGATGTAAATAAGAAGAAGAATTCAATTTCTTACTAAATGACTACTAAGAGCTATGCGAACAGGTCGATCATCAGCTGAAGTCTGTTCTTCTGAGGGTTGTTCAGTTGGTGTTGCAACTTTTGTAGGTTTTCGACCACGTTTTGGTGTAATAGTAGTATCAGGTATTGATAAATCTACATTTGAAGTTTGTTTACGACGTGTATTTGTTATTGGTGCTGTTTGAGGTGTTGTTGGACGTCTAGAAGAATGATGGAAAATAGTTATAAATATGAAAATATATTGTTTTAAAAATAACATACGTTCGTTTTGTTGTTGCTGGAGATGATGCAACAGGTGTTGTACTCTTTCTTTTGCGTCCAACTGTTTTTGTTGTTAGAACTGGTTCTTCATTTTCACCACCGGTATCCATTTGATCGTAAACATCCGCATTATCTTTTTGTTTTTTAGTTTCATCTTCTGGGCTTTCTGCTGTATCAATAGGTTGTTGGCGAAGACTAATACGTTTTTGTGGTGCGGATGAACTACGTCCACCACGTGTTGATCTACGACCTGCTGTTGTTGCTGATGGTGCTGCTGTTGATGCTGATGATGTTGATGCACTAGGAGTTTTAGATTGTTTTTCAAGATCATCTAAATCAACATAATCATCTGTATATGGAAATTGTCGATTTCGACCACTTGATGCGCGAGCTTTGATTCGAGCTATTAGAAGGGAAAAAAAGAATCAGATAAATATAACTACTAAAATTCTTTTTTCTTACCAGAAACTCGAACATTTGAACTAGAATTTGCTTGATCAGGCAAAGAAGGTACATCAGCTGTAGTAGGAGTAGTTGGTTGAGTGTTAATTGGTTTTTGTTCAACATCAGGAGTTTTTATAGATTTTTTCGGTGAATCTTCAGTTTCAGTATTTACTGTTTCTTCTAGTGTAACATTATTAGCTTCATCATCCATTGTTGAAGGTACAGTTACATTACGACGACCACGATGTAAACTTGTACTAACAACACGAGCTCGTGTTGCACCACCGCGACGACCTCGAGCACGACGACCTGCTCTTCGAGGAACACCACGTTGACCACCACGAGTTGAAACCGAACTTGATTCTTCAGTTTCTTCTTCTTCATCAACTTCGTCTTGTTGATTTTCTTCACTCTCAGGTATTGATAAAGGTACTTCTTCAGGTGTTGAAGCAGCTATAAAACGTAAATATATATTTCAAGATAATTTAACTGTTTTATTATATATATGTGTAACTTACGACTTGATTCATCAATTTTTTCTTTCGATTCAACTGATGTAGATGTAAATGATTTATTTAAATCAGGTGCTGTCTCTTGTTCCTATAGATTCAACAATGACATATGTAATTCATATATATATATATATATAAATAATTTCTTTTTACCATGTTTGTTGATTGAATTTCTGAATTTGTTTTATCAACTTCATCAACCGGCATTATATCAGTATTTTTAATTGGAATGGTTTCATTTTCTTCTTGCTTATCAACTATATTCGTTTCTGATTCATTACTATTAAGTGTTGATGAATGTTCTATAAAAATTTTAATAAAATCAATAAAAATTAATTTTTCTATATATTATCTACCTGTTTGATTTGTATCCATAAGTTCATGTGTGGCAACTTCTCTAATCATAGCTGGATCAATAGTAACTTCTACTTGTTGTTTTGATGATGTATCATCAGGAAGTTTTTCAATATTTTCAAGTTGTTCAGCTAATTCTGAAGCTGGAACAACTTCAAGAGTTTCTGATGCTGGTCTTGGTGATGAATTATCAAGTTCTTCATCAAGACTATATTCTTGTGTATCAGTACATAGAGCAGGTGCAGCTGTATCGAGATCAATTTGATCATTTGTTGATGGAAGATCATATGCTAATGTTTCCATTGGTGGATTATCATTTTCAATAACGGTCGTAGTAGTTTTTGTTGTTGATGTTGTAATTTCTTCGAGTGTTGGTTGAAGTTCATATGCTAATGTTTCTGTTGATGGATTACCATTTTCAATAACAGTTGTTGTTGTCGTTGTTGTTTTTGTTGTAACTTGATCAATCATTGCATCACCATTAATAACAATTTTATGAATTTCTTCACGTTTTGTTTCAACTACATCAGTTACAATTTGTTCATCTTCAAGTTCATATGGTTGAGTATCTGCTATCTGATTATCTGAAGAAATAATTTCACTAGTCGGCTCAAGTTCATATGCTTGAGTATTTTCAATTTCAACATCTGTTGTTGTTGTTTCAATTGTAAATGTATTTGTATCATCTTCAATAACTTTTTTTGTTTGTGATGATGATGAAATAATTTCAAGTTGATCATCATTATTTATTTGTGTTGATTCAATAAGTAATGGGACAGTTGCTGGTAATGTTGATGCACCAATAACTAAACTATCATCATCATGATCATTATTTGATATTGAGGGTGAAATAAATGATGAAGATTTATTTGATGATGATTCAATAGTACCATTTGATTTTGATGTCACATCATCAGAACCTAATTTAAACAAGGCAATTAGATTTTTAGAAAAGAAAAAAAATGATTTGAATTGTTACTTTTTAGACTTGTTCGACTAAGACCTTCAACAAAAAATAAATAAATTTACACATAAATTAATATTTCGATTTTTCGTTTTCTTACGATTTGTATTATGACTATTTCCATTCCAAATTTTCATTGGTTGTGTTGGTTCTTGATCATCATATGAATCAGATATTGTTTGTGTTGATGCTTAAAAAAAACAAATAAATGAACGAAATATAAATCTTTAAAATTTCTCTTACGAATCACATCAATATTTGTTTCTGGAGTCATCTAAGAAAATAAAATAATCAATTATCAATTGAAGAAAAGAAAAAATCAAACATAAGGTAGTTAAGAAATATATTAAACAGACACACTTTGTCATACCGATGGGGATATATCATCATCCAAAGGCCATGGTGAATCCTCTTCAACTAACGTATTCGTAACAGGTATATAAGTTTGATATGTTGGATCAGAAATTGTCTTTAATTAGTTTTTTATTAATTATTTTTTTTATTTAACATAGAAATAAATAATACTTACATTTTTATTTGTTTGTATTTGTTCTTGGAATGAACAAACAATATCACCGAATTTTATTTCATCATCATTATGTAATGCATAGCAAACATTTGGTTGAAGTTGAGTCTATTGAGAATAGAAATATTTTAAGATGAAATAAAGTTTTTTTTTGTTTCTGTTTTACTTTATTTTGAAATGTTTTGTTACTACTACCGAGATCAGTAATAAAATACTGTCCATTATTAAAGGTTATTTTTGCGTGTTGCTTAGAAAGAGACTAAATAAAAATAATAAAAAACGAAAATTTCAACTTTTTAAGAAAAAAAAAGGATTCATACCGGAGCAGAAATAATTATATCTGATGGATTTGATCGACCAATAATTGTTTCCTCTATTTAAGAGAAATGTGTAAAGCTTTAATAATAATAATAGGGAGATACTTACTTCCTATTTGATATGTATTTGAATCAGCACCACTAATAATCTTTAACGAAGCATCCTATAGAAAAAAAATTCGAATAATTTCATATAAACTTTTTTTAAAGAATTTTATAAATATACAGTATCAATAGTTGATGAATTTTGTAAGAGACTATCATCAGCAGATATTATTTGTGTATTATCAAGATCTGTCATTTCGTTTTCTTTTCAATAATTAGTTGAATGAATTCTTTAATAGAGATGAATGTACTGTACTGTCTGTATTTTACGATCTTGGTCTTTGTTTAATGCTATTCGTGACATCTATTCTTTGTCTATTGTCAAATTAATATAATATGATTTTATTTATTAATAAAAAATAAATAAAAAATGAAAATAACTTTTAAAAAACTATAGTTTATTATAAGAACAAAATAATTGTCAATTTACATCGATTGTTAGCGTCATCTATAGATGGAAGTGAAATCTATAATATAGTGCTGCCTTTTCCTATTTTTTTTTCCTTCAGTCAAGGAGATAAAATAGCCTTGAATATGTCAACCATATTCAAAGAACTAACAAAACAACAACGACGACGCCATCACATGATTTTTCTTCCTTTCTTTCTTTCTTTCGTAATATTCCTATTTATTACTTTTTGAGTGCAAAGTCCGATATTATCTCAGTCACGTTCTCTTTTGAATGGGACAAACTTCACGATTTGATGGCGCATTTTGATTTATTTTTCTTTTATTATCAGATGACGTAAGGTGGAAAAAAGATGCACATCTGCGCAGAATTAAATATTTATTTAATGCCATGATAATAAATATCTGTAGGCTGAAAAAGAATGTAGACCCCATACTCTCAATACATTCCAGTATACTATTAATAGGTGCAAAATAGATGAGTAACCTGCTGATCATTGCATCTGTCTCTTTCTCTCTTTTTTCGTCTTTTTTTTTCTCTCTTTTTCTATCTATTTTTCGTCATGCGATGTTATTCACATAGAACGAAAACATAGATATATAGATATTGATTTGTGATCAGAAAACATCAAAACAAACTTGTAACATACTTGTTCTTCTTTCAGACCAAGCGTTTCAATTCTGCCAACTGCCTAGACGTGGCGGTTCTTATTTCTACATATAATTCTTTGTTGACTAGTGAACATGTCAACGGTCGATCAAAATCAGGTAATTATTTGATCAATGTATTATTTTAATTCTTAATTCACCTATATAGACATCTCAATATCGTCAAACCATAATTATTGGTTCTGGTACAGCTGGTTTATCAGCGGCATATCAATTACAAAAATTAGGATGTAAATCTGTTTTCATTCTTGAAGGTTCGAATCGTATCGGTGGTCGCATCCTCACCGAATACTTAGATAAAGATTTAACTCAACCTCTTGAAATGGGTGCATGTTGGATGCATGGTTTACAAGAAAATCCTGTTTATGAATTAGCACAACGTGAAAATTTTCCATCACACACAGGTACAATACTTAGTTTTGATATTGGTACATGTGTAGATGAACATGGTTTACAAATTTCAAGTGATTTACATCATGAAGTTGACGAATTTTTCGAAAGTTTATTACAAGATACACGAGATTTATTTGAATATCAACAACAAAATAATACACAAATATCATCAACAAGTATTCATAAAGTTTTTTTGGAAAAATTTGAAAATTTTGTTAATTTAAATGGTGGAGATCAGGAAACACGTTGTTTAAAACTTAAATTACTTCAACGAAGGTAATAATCATATATATTTCAAATTTTTAATTTATTTCGAATTTTTTTAAATATTAGATTCGATCAAGAAACAGGTGAATGTGGTTGCCAATCAATGGAACAAGTATCCTATTCAGAATTTGGTTCGTATCAACGACCAAAAGGTCCTGATATGGAATTTCCATGTGGTTATTCAACATTAATTCGCTTTTTATGTTCTCAAATACCACAAAACTGGATTCAATTTGATCAATTTGTTGAAAATATTTTATGGGATCAAAATGATCGTGTTCATATAACATGTAAAAATGGCAATGTTTACGAATGTGATTATGTTATTTGTACAATTCCATTAGCTGTTATGAAGTGGAACTATAAATCTTTATTTACACCACCATTACCAAGTAAAACTAAAATAATTTTATTCTTTAATTATTTACATAAAAATACTATGATTTATTTTAGCATGGAAAACTGAAGCTATACAAAAAATGGATATGGGTACTGTTGATAAAATCTATTTGTTTTATGATCAATTAGATTTTTTTACTGGTGATTCATTAGCTATTGTTTATGATCGAGAACATGATACATTAGATATTAAAAAAGAATGGTATAAAAAAATATTTTTATTCCAAAAAGTCTATGATAATGTTTTATTATGTTGGATTACGGGTGATGAAGCTATTTTTTGTGAACAATTAGATGAAACATATATTGGTGATACATTAACAAATCTTTTTCGAAAATCATTAAAAAATCCTAGTATACCAACACCAACAAAAGTTGTTCGGTAAGAATTTTAAACAGATTTTTATTTGATAATAATAATTCTGAAAACTTTATTTTATTTAGAACTCAATGGTTTTCAAATCCATGTGCAAAAGGATCATATTCATATGTTCCTGTTGGTGCATCATCATGGCAACATATTCAAGATTTAGCAAAACCATTAATTTTTAATAATATGGTAAGTTTTCAATTGATTTCTATCTTCCGAATTGTAAAAAATAAGATCGTAATCATATATTTATACTTAAAGTCCTTTTAGTAGTCTCTCAGAAGAGCAGAATACGATCGATGGACAGCACACGATAACAAAGCGAAGGTAGACGATATCTTGGGATAAAAATATTTTTCGTGAAAACCTAAGAATTGTTGAACACGCTTGTTGTTCGGTTTGTTGTTGTTTATTTATCTAGTTTCTGTTCCAATGATGACGATGAACAAGACGAAAAAAAGAAATATAGAGGTTTGATTGTATTTATTCTGCTCTTTGGTCTTCTAACTTTTTTTCTTCCATAAATAACATACATATAATTTTTAGTCACGAGTATTTTTTGCGGGTGAACATACCCATACTCGCTATTACTCAACTGTGACTGGTGCGTTTATAACTGGTCAGACACAAGCTTTATATGTAGCACAACAATTAATTAGCAATAATGATACGGAAATGTTAGCTAAAGCTAACACAGATGATTTTACTAAAATTCAATGGAAACGTGAAGTAGAACCACCCTGACAAACTCCCGATGGCAGTCGTCGTTTAGAAGTGATAACGACGACTAATGACGGTGCTGGACAAGCACTATCGGTATCTACGACCAAGCAAGATGTTGCCCAAAAACCAAACTGTGGTTTGACAACGAAAATCTTCTCGTCGATTGGCCGATTGGTTACCCAGACCGTGTATTATTTGAAAACAATTTCAATGGACATAAATACTTAAATATCGCTTTTTTCTTTTTTTTGCTCTTTTCCTTCATTTATCTTTGTGCTTATTAATTCATAATAGGTCTCTCTTCTCTTTAGTGTCATACTAATAATGTGTTTAATTAATCGTATCGCTGCTTTTCTTCTCAATATTTACTCAATAAAATAATTCATTTAATCATAAGAAAATTTATTTTTAAATTAAAAACAAAAAATAATTAAGAAATATAATTAAACAAAATTCGGTGGAAGTAAAGGTGAATTATAAATATGAGTAATTTCAAAGTTACGTGATTCAATTGATTGTACCATTTCATGAGCTAAATCCATATGAATAGAACCAAAAATATCGTCAGGATTTTTATCATTAAAATAAATTTGATTTATAAATGCTAATTGAAGTTGACTTTCTACAATGAAAAAAAACGAATTATTAATTATAAAGAAAATAGAAAAATAAACTTACTTCTTGCCCAACGTGGAATTTTTTTTGTTCGTCGATAAGATGAAATATTTTGAGTATCATCAAGTTGTTCGTCATGATAAATAGTCATATCATAATTATTTGTTGATTCTGTTTTAAAACTACATTCTAGATTTGGATTGATTTCTCGGACAAAATTTGATCTAGAAAAAAAAAATGTAAACATAAAAACAAAATAATAATGATGATAAAACTTACCCTTTAATACGTTGAAATCTGGCACTGGATTGTGAATGATGAATGGGAATGCGAGTTAAATTAATAGTAGGAGATTTTTTAACAAATTTACGACGTAATAATGATTTTAATGAAATTGTTGGACGTGAAGTATAATTTACAATAGATGAATTTGAAGGACGAACACACTATAAAAATAAATTTTTATCATAGAATAAGATAATCTCAAATATATTAATCACTTACTGAATTACAAAATGCCATTGATAGTTGAATTGTTGAGAAATGTAACTAAATCATGAACTATATTTGCTTATATATATGAAATCTCATTTAGTTAAAATGGATCAAATTGTTCTAATTTTCAATCTAATCAAAGAGTCTGTTCCGATAGTGAGATTGATCAATTACATGTAAAGCCAATTAAGTTATCTCTTTTATTCTTCTTGATTGCAAATATATTTCTTTCTTTTTATTGAATCGGACGAATAAAATGTCAAAGAAAATTTATACATAATATAGTAAAACGAAGAAATATGGTATATATGATTTAGTGTATAGAAACTACTACATAATTAAGTTATTTTCAAGGATTATCGGAAAGAGAATGAGTAGTAATCGATAATAGCAATCTGTAAACGTTTGATTTTTATTATTCAGATATAAACACTTCATATTCAACAAAGTCTGAATAATTCATCGATAATTTTTATCGAATATCGTCAGATGTCTGCCCTCTCATAGTAAAATATCTTTTATCATTAATCAAAGTACTAACAAAAAATCAATATCATCTCAAGATAGATATATATTTATATTTCAAACTGTCTTGATTTTAATATACGGTATAGAAATCTTACAAAAAAAAGAAGAGAAAAGAAAAAGAAGAGCAAGAACAAGAATAAGAAATAAACGAAAACATCATATTTAGCTTGTATACAACAAAAAAAAGAAAGAAGGAAACACATAAATCTTTGTTATGTTTAATTTTTTTTTCTAATAAAAATCTGTATAGTACATATATAAAGATTAATATACAGCAAAAAAATCGATTAATCTGACCGGTTTGAATTGGTTGGTATTTATATGTATATAAATAAAAACGTTCGAATAATTTTATGAATACAGAAGACACAAAGTAGAATTAGAAGAAGACTAGGTTCATTGTTTATTTCTTTTCTTTTCGAGTGACGAAAGACAGTCGGGTGGACGTCATTAATATATATATATCATTTCCATATTTTAACAACAGCATCACATGAAACAGTTATCAAATAAGGTGTACGTTCTTTTGACATAACTAATTGCATTGATGTAACTGTATCAGTATGTGCTGATGGAATATTTGCACTTGATTTGGTTGTTTTTATTTCCGTTGCTGTTGTTGTTGATGAATTTGCCGATGCTGTTGTTGCTGTTGGTGGTGATGATGGATGTCTACGTTTATGATATTCTTCAACAGTTACTTCAACGCCATCAATAATTTTCGGTTGATAACGAGCAGTTAATATATCATCATCAGCTGGTCCTCGACAAACAATATATGATCGTAATGGTTGAGTTAAATTCCAATTTCTTATACGCATATCTGTTCCAGCACAAAGTAGTGATGTTGAACCATCATTTTTCCATAAATACATCGCAGCTATATAATGATTAAGTGACTGAAAAGAAAATTGTTTTATTAAATAAAAACGAATCTATTTTATTATTATTATTGTGCTTTCATACTTGTGTTAATGACAACGGTGTTGCAGGTGATGGCCAAAATACTTTTTGTCGTATTGTTGGTTTATCAATATTCCATATAGCTACTTCATTATTACCTTGAAATGAACTAATTAAACTACTCGGTTGATCTTGATGACGAAGAAGAGTTATGACACGTGCACCTTAAAAATATTTCGAATAATTTTACTGTTTTTTCTTTTTAAGTTTTATTTCTACCTGTTGGATGTTGTATTCCTTGAATACATAATTGAAAACGCATATCCCATATATCAATAAATCCACTACCAGTACCGACTGCTAACCATGACTGAAGTTCATCAACTTCAAGTGCAGTTATTAAACCTAAAATAAATATATAAATTGAAAAAGATTTATATTTTTTTTCAAAAATCTATTACGATGATTTAAATCATTTTTAAATCGAAATATTGGTGTTGAACATCTTGTATCAATTCCAACAATTAATCCTTGTGATGTGGCTAATGCTAAAATATCTTGTGAACCTGTATTAAAATATTTTAAATCAACTGGTACACCAACATCATTAACATCTAATTTTAAACTATAAAATGGTTCACGTATATCAGTTGTTGAAGAGTTAAGACTAAATAAGATGGAATGATTTTAATTTAATTTTTTAAAGAATATATTTTAATTTACTCAAAAATATTTAGTTGACCATTTTCACATAAAGAGGCAAGATTTAAATTAGTGTCCGATGTAAATGCTAAACCACGAACAGCAGATGCTAAAAGAAGGAAGAAAAATATGTTTAACAATTATTCATTGGAATTTTTAATTCAAAATAATCTAACTTGAAAGACAAAGTTCAGTTAGACTTCATACAAAATATTATCATTGAAAAATTAAGCTTATAGTTTTCGGAATAGGTCAGCGATTCGAGCAAATTTTAAGACAAATTAAGCTCTCTAATCAAATATTCCGCTAAAGTCTTCCGAAGACTTTGAAGTACGCTGTTTCTCTCAAGAGAAGTTTGTCTTCCGTTTAATGAATAATCTAGATATTTCCATGAAGATTTTATAGCGTTAGCTAATACTTGTTTTCGAATAACGAATCGATTTTAAATCCAATCGTTAAGAAATTCTTACTTTTAAATTCTTCAGGCGCTAGAAATCAATATATCATTATATAGATATATAATTATCTTATTAAATATGAAGTAAAACTATATACCTGTTCCACGAATTGCTCTCGACGGTCGAAAGATGAGAGATTTTTGGAATTGATTAATATCCCATAATCGAATAGCTCCTTTAGAATCACCGGTAGCAAAAAGTTGTGTATAATATGTAGGTGATGGTGAAACAAGACTTGATGTTAATCTATAGAAATTGAATAATTATAAGAATTAAAATAAAATAACATTTTTTTTCTGTTATACTTTGTAATTTTTCCATTATGTAAATGAACATGACTAAGTAGAGTACCTTGTGGTGTCCAAAGTTTTTGATCTGATATTTCGAAAACATTTGTTGGAACACTACGTTTAAGTAATTTAGCACGTTGACAATCTTCTCGATAGATTGCTTGATGTTTTGATACTAAATTATTCTGTTCAGTTAAACATTGTAATCGAAGACCTTGAATGAAAAAACACACACATAAATTGATATTTTATTTCGAAAAATAAATCAATAAAAACCTGTTCGAATTGTTTTTGTTGTTGATTCAACAAAACAATGTTGTCGATGTTGTGTGATGTTTTCTGTTGACGGCAATTGATATTGTAAAGTATCAACTACCATTGTTTCATCGGTATTTTCATTTATTGTTTTATCATTTGAATTGGGTGGAATGTTTTCCTGTTGATTTGAAACTTGCATTGTTACGGCACCAAACATTTCTGACCAATCAGACTAAATTTATTCAATAGAAAATCAATATATAAATAATTCTTCTGAACTTACACTATCATTATTTAGATTTCTTGCAGAGTAGTTATCAATATTAGTTCGATTTATATTCAAACTTAAATCATGTCGTCGCCCAGGTGGAATTTTTATATTTATTGTACCTGGTCGTTCTTTTAATTCTGTTGTTACACTTGTACTAAAGAAAAAAAAAGCAAAAAATTGTTTTTTTTAGAAAAAGCAAAATATTCTATAGGAAAATTTTACCTTAATTTAGTCTGTGAAGTTTGTTTAACAAAAAATTTTAATGCTAAAATTTTATTTTCATCCTCTTCTTTCATTCCTAATTCAATTAATTTATCAAATGCCTAGGAGTAATTTAAATAAATTTAAAAAAAAACCAGAAAAATTAAGTAATTGAAACCTTACCTCACGTACAAGAGGATCAGCAGATTCGGTATAAGCTGGTTTTAATCCAGTTCCAGTCATTTGTCGAATGTTTGATCGATCAGTTAAATGTCGAAATAGACCTTCATTCGGTTGAATTTGTTGAACATATTCAAATAATTCACGTGATAATGGTTCAATCAAAGCATTATATAAAATATCCTAAATAAGAAACAATCGATTCAATGCGATATGAAGAATTTCAGGTGAATTTATTCTTTTATGAATAGATATAAATTACATACTGCATTTCCCACTTGTACAATTGGAAATTTAAAAAATCGTTCAATCACCGGTATAACAAATCCATGTACATCAGCTAAATGAGACTTTTCACAAATACTATTAATAAATTCAATAACGCCTAATCGTAACCAAAGATTCTTAAAAAAACGAGAAGAATACATGATTAATCAATGAAAATATTACATCAAATAATATAAACATACTGGATGACAAACAAGTGGTGCAACTTGTCGAAGAAATTCATAGATTGTTTTTCGTTTTAGTAATGATAGACGAACAAAACATGCAAGAGCTTTTAATACTCGATGAACAACAAATTCTTCTTCATCAATTAATCCCTTTTTAAAAATAAAATAAAATAAGAATTTTTTTTCCTTTTTTCGAACAAACTTGATTTAATAGAGGTAAAATAAATAATTCGCTTTCAAGTCCAATATATGAAGCAACAGTTACAAGACTATCAAATAATGTTGCACGTAAACGCCAATTTGGTTGACTTAATAATGTTGTTAAATGTCCACAAATAACTTCAATCGCTAAATAGAAAATAAAATTAGTTTTGTTTGTAAAAATTTCATTTTGTTCTTATTTACTTTTTCGTTTGCCAAAAAATGTACATAAACGTATAAGATCCGATCGACAAACAGCTTCAGCTAATTGACCATTTTGATCATCGTTATCACCATGTATAAGATCACCGAATTTACCTTGCATCCATGTTTGAACACTTTTTAATTCTTCTTCATACAGTTTCTATTAGAAATAATAAAAATCATTGTCTTTTTCTGTTATTTTATTTAATAAAAATATCTACTTACAAAATAATCATTACTTATTGTATGATTTCGTTCCTCAATTAAATAAGTTTTTTCTAAAAATCTTTAATAAACAAAAATAAAAATAAAATTTTCAATATAGACAATCTTCATTAGTACCTTAATGAATGTTCAGCAAGTACAGATAGATATTTAGCTAGATTTGCTCGAACATAACAATCATCTTGTATATATGATGTTGACTATATAATTTAATTCAAAGAAGAAAATATAGATAAAAGTTATTTTTTTTTTGTTTTTCTATTTACCAATGTTGGAAAAAGATATTCACTGAATAGATCAGCATTTTCTTGATTGATATTTTTAACGGATGATATAGCAAAGACAAGAGTCCGAATAGCATCAGCTCGCACACGATGAAAAGAATCATGTAACATTGCATTCTAAGAAAAAATATTTTAATTTATAGTCAAAATATTTATTAGAAAAGAAAATTTTTATTCAATAAAATTTGTTTATAGTAAAACAAATTCTGAATTTTGTCAAACAATCTTCTAACACTTTCAGCTTTATCGCTAGATAATTGAAATTGAATATTCAATTGATGGTTTCTACAAAATATTGACGCAAGGCTCTTGATATGAGGCGAGATGGGCTAGCTCCTCACTCACCCTTTCAGTGTGTCCGAGTATCAGCCAAAATCTGGCTGACTGTATCGGGTGTCTGTTAAAGGTGAGAAAGGATGCTATGAAATTTGTCAGCGATCCACATACGAATTACCGGCAAAAAATTTAATTCTAGATTTTCGTATATTAAAATTGTTCTGTAGTCGATATCTATTTCTAATGATCATGAGAATTTTCTTAGAATATATGCGTCTAACTCTTACCACATAAGGTAAAATTCGATCAAGTATAATTTGATCATCAACTAATGGAATCATTAAACGTAAAAGTTCCAATGCCACAAGTCGAGAATGTAAATGCTAAAAAAAGAAATCGAACAATTAATTTAAAATATTTCACATAATAATTTTTCGTTAATCATACTTTTAATTTTCTCATACAAGATAAAGCAAGTGAAAGTAATATTAAAAGACATTGTGATGATTCGCGATTTTTTTCATCATCCATCTCTGTTTCATCGTCATTTGTATCATTATTGTCCATAAGTAAATTATTCATTATATATGAAAAATCTCGATGAAGTCTAAAATAACTCAATTATAATTTAATTTATCAACCTATTTTAACTTCATACTTATAAATAACAAAGTCCGGTGAAAATTCTTTTAAAATTTTTTGTACATATGGTAAAAGAAATGTATGAAAACATGATGGAAATGCTTTGCCTGTTTGTTCTTCAAGATATTCTTCGGCTGTAAGACGTTTTAATGGATCACGATCAATCATACTTGCAACCATTGACTTATAAAACAAAAAAAAGCGATAATTCAAAAATAAAATATGATCGATATTTACTCGTATATCAGCATCAGCTATCTTATTGACAATTGGCATCGGATCATAACCACCAGTTCTGTAAACAAGCATTTGCATTAAAGTAAATAATGGTAATTCAGTAAATAATTCTGCTAAAATACAACTAAAAAAAAATAACAAAAGAAAAATAGTTTTGTTTCTTTGTATTAATTTTATAGATTTTTACCCGACTGAAAATATATCCATTGATGAAGTACCTAATTTGCCGAAACTAGTCGAAAATGTATCATTATTAATATCATTTTTTATTCTTGTTTGATCATAAAAACGTTCCGGTGCTAAATAACATACATTTCGTTGTGATGCATTAAAATAATAATAATATTCAGCTGGATCTTCCTAAAACAAAAAAACAATCCATTTTGTCTCGAATTAAATATATATATATCTTCTTTACTAACATAAGCAAAAAATGTTGGTTTAAAATTAGCAAAATCACTTAATAAAACCCAATTATAACTTGTTAATAAAATATTTTCAATTTTTAAATCACCATGTGTTATATTAGCATGATGTATATGTTTAAGTGCTATTAATAATTGATAGGCAATCCATTTTTTTTCGATACGTGTAAGATAAGGTCGTGTTTGTAAACGATAAAATAAATTATCTTTTATATACGGACGTGTTAAAATTATTGAACGATCATTTTTCTAAAAAAACAAATAAAAATTATTTTTGTAAATAATTAAGAAAACATACAGTAACAATTTGAAATGGTAGACAATTTTTTAATGGTGATGGTGATATATCTTTTTCATGGAGAATTGAGTAAATTTCTACAGAAAAGATTTTTTAATAATAATAATAAAAAGAAAATTAATGAAGTAAAAACCTTGAATTTGTGCTTTATATTGATCATATGGAAGCGATTGATCAACAATTTGGAAGATTTTGAGGACACAATAACCATTTCTTAATCAAATCAATAGGATATTAAATTAGAACATATATAAACAATGAGATTTATTTCTTTACCTGGTTTTTGCCTTAGCTACCTTCAAGAATCGAGTAACACCCAAACTAAAAATAATGAAATATAGAATTATATACAGGAGTTGCCAAAATTACCCAGTCGGATGTAATTTAGTTTTTTTTCTTAATGTTCTCGAGATTTTTACAATCTTTCTTTTAAAACTTATGAGCATCGACAAAAAGCGACATTTGTTAAAATACCCCCTAAACGCATCTTTTCCTACGGAGGGTTACAGAAAGCTTGATAACATCTCATTTAGCAGAGAATCAACTGCTCTATGGTTCCAGACTATTAAAAAAAGTATATTTTTGGGTTTTGATTTTCTATAAAATTCATTTCCGAGGAGTTCAACTACAACCACTATCCTCCTAAATTCTTATAGCAAACAATTTTCTCTATTCAAATCATTGATCAACAGTCGGTTGAATAATTATGACATTGCATGTATAATAATAACAAGATTTATTATTTTCTAAATTTTATATTTCAAATTACTTTTTAACATAGTCGTATCCACTTAAATCATTAAAGTAAGTTTCGACGTTAAGAATTTGGTTTGGAATATGTGCAATTTGATTTCCCATCAACAAATAATCATCATCTAGAATAAATTGTATATAGGAAACAAAAAATATATAATGCAACTGTCCAAACAGATCGTTAGATATTTTTAAAAATATTTTATTAAAAATAAAATAAGCACGCTAATTTTTCCTATGATTTATCACCGTTGGTCGTTAACATCCTAAAATATAACAGAACAAACAAATGTAGAATTATTTCTATTTTTTGTTTTCATACGTTCGGTACAACAAAAACCCAATCTTTCATCCTTGGTTCAACAATAATTTGACAAGCAAGTCGAGATGTTGGTGTTAAACCAAATGCTAAATCTAACATATCATTTTCTTCCTCAACTGGTTCAGGTAATGTTTTATAATTTTCACTATCAAGTATAACATGACATGTTGAACAAGCAAGTGTACCTTCACATGCTCCAAAACCATCAATATCTAGTTTATTATCAATAACAACATCGAGCATATTTGAACCAATTTTAGCTTTAGCATCAATTGCTTTTTCTTCACGATCGATTATTTTAACATTTATATAATTATTTGAATTTGATGAAAATCTTTTAAGGAATAAATTTTGATTGAATATTGTACGAGTTACTAGACCTAAGAAATTAGTTTTCATCTAAAAAAAAGAAAAGAAATGAAAACAAAACTTAACAGATTTTTTTTCTTGTCTTATTAAAATAAATCATTTTGATCGATATTCGTCGGTTCAATATGTTCAATATCTTTTTTAATTTTTTTAAATAAATGTTCATTTAGTTTTTTCAATTCTTTTGCTTGTTCACTTATTTCACTAGAACGATTATCATGTATCATTTCATCAATATTAAAATGAAGAATATTTTGTAAATTTTCATTTTCATTAAAACATATTGAATAACGAGAATTATTAAATAAAATTCGTAGAAATTTCAAAATTTCACGTTTTAATCCACTAGCTTTTGTACGTGGACCTAAATTTATAATTGGTTCAATTAATGAAATAATATCTGTTGACATTATTGTTGAGCTTTTCTCCAAAATTTGATTTAGTGATTGAATAACAACTAATTGAATTTGCCAACTTGAATAAAGAATTATTTCAATTAATAAATCAAATGTTAATTTTTTATATTGAGATTCAATTTCAGGAGTTTTTGGCCAAACACGTGGTAAACATTCGATTAATGTTCGATGATATGCATCGGATAGAATAGGATCATCATCATTATCTTTCATTTCTTGATCTTCTGCATCTGGATCCTAGACAAATAATGATAATGTAATATAATAGTAAAGCAGTTATTCAGATTTTTGCATCTATCACAATATTTTTTTCTTTATCTTGCGACTAGACTCTTTTATTTAATGGATACGTTTTATTTGCTAAAGTATATACATATATCGTTCTTTTTTCCTCTCGTTTTGAAATAATTTCCAAACGTTGGTTTTTGATGACGTAGATCAGGTTTTTTCCTCTCTCACTCACCTTTTTTACCTAGTAGTGTGTGGGTGTAAGTAGTGTTAACGTACACAAATCTACAGTGACCTTTAATGTCAGTTAAAATTTTGTAGATCACTTTCAACAGCAAATTATATTCCTTTAGGTACGAAAAACAACTGAAATTTTCTAATTGTATACTCATGACTTTTTTACTCAACAAAATTGATTTGTCTATCTGGACGTATATAAAATTTCACTGAGAATTTAGATAAAATTGAATATTTAGTTTCATTTCGTGTATAGAAGAAGATACTTACAGGTTGTTTTAATGCTTTTTCAAACCATATCCAAAAGAGTTCATATACTTGAAAGTTGTATTCATCAGCAAGTAATGATAATACACGTATTGCAATTGATCGATATGTAAGTGATTCTTTTTTACATTCTTTAAGAATACACTCATAAATACGTTGAATAAGATCGGGTGAAGTTTTCAATGTGTCTCTAAAAAGGAAATAATATTTTATTAACTCTACACAATTGATTGCGTCGTGAATATACATAGTTTGAATTAAAGAAAAACAAACGTGTCATGATGACGATAAAAATTTCACAACTATGTACAAATATGGCGTAATCAAATTGGCTATATGATTATCATACACTTAACAGATGAATTACATCATCAGAAAACTTTTCTAACTGTATGTAAATGACATTTTAATTTGTAGAACAAGAAGAAAAATGAATATATTATTACACGTACTTCTCAAGTTTGACATACTATAAAATCAAAATGACCTGAATTTATTTTCTTACAACTATTTAAGATGATATCGATGAACTAATATCTGATTTTTGACTATTACTTACTTGCAATAAGTACAAATTGTTTCCATAGCTCGAAGAAAACATTCCTACGAAAAAATGAAATCAAATTTATTTATAGAAAAAAAATAAAATCTTACTTTTCCTTCATAAACTCTTCCATAAAGACCTTTCAAAAGAAATTCAACTAATATAATTAAATATTCAATATTTAAATTATTTTTTAATGTTTCTCCAATCATTTGTATTGCTCGTGCACCTTTAATTTTCATTGTATATGAACTATGTTCAATCGTTAAACGAATATTTTCAATAATTCCTTTGATATATGTTTGTATTCCTGTTATTGAACTACCTGTATGTTCAATCCATAAATTTTTCCAAATTAATTCTTCTTGTTGTTCATCATCTTCATTTTTATTATTTAAAGATTTTTCTTGCATACCAATATATATTAATGGTAAGATTTGTTGACCATAGTCTGATAATAAATCATGATTTGATTGTGATATAGAATTAAGTGTTAACGCACAAACATATTGATAATCATTATCTGTTTGATAATACCATGTTGAAATTTTTTGTAAAAGATTTTCAATTGATGAACGTTTCGCTATTTTTACAATTGTACCTAATACACTTGTATATGTTTTTCGTAATGTACGATTAGAATTTACACTCATTGTATTAACTAATATAGCCATCCATTTTCCAACATATTTTGAACAATTCTGTGGATATAAATTAGTTAATGTTATAAAATATTGTCCAATAAGACATTTCGTTGTTAAACCAATTGAATGTTTAATTGTTTCAATTAGTTTTCCAGATAAATCATCTAGAATTGTTTCATCAACATATTGATTTGTACATGTATTTATTGCATCCATTAATGGTGATGAACGTGCACAAAGTAAACGTGCAACATCAATTTGTTCTTTCATTTCAGCTGCTGATAGTTTCATTGATTCATAATTAAATAAATCAGGTTCAATAGATGATAATGCTTCGAATAGAGCTATGATAATTACTGTACAATAAGGTTTTAATGTATCACGATCACCATAACGAATTATTTCGACTAAAGAAGAAATAAATAAGATTAAGATTACTTTTTAAATTTCGATTAGTCATGTCTAATAAAATTTATATGTTAACACATAAATGCAACGTCATCCAGGTTATCAGTAGACTTCAGCGTATGTTAAATAGAAATTCCAACAAAACAACCCTCGTGACACTATATACGTATTTATCAAAATTTTGTAATAAACATCTCATATGATTAATAAAGGTTTTGAATGTATCACTTCCGACTTTCATTACAACGTATTACCTTCTAATCATTAAACGTGGCGTGTTGTTTTTTTTATCTCAAACAGATAATTAAGACGATTGTTAATATTATTATTCTAGAGGAATTTACGAGAGAAATATGTAAAGTACTTTAAGATCAGAATAAAATTTGAATTTATCATAAATGTTTTACTCATTTTTAGATCTAATCTATTAGATATATACAACAACAGATGTGATAAGTTTTTATCTTTTCGTGTTCGGTGTAAAACATTATCAATACTCTAACACATTAGAAAAGATTAAATCTATTATCTATAAGTGTTCAATGAAATATCAACTTCTAATTTATTAAGAATAATTTTTTAGTAAATCTTAACATATTCTTAATATTTCAGTTTTAGCTAAAAATGTTTAGGTCAATGTGACATAGCTTGTTATCTAATAAATATCATCTGCGTGATCAACAATTCATAACTATTATTTTATTAATCGAATAGACTAAATACTTACTAATAGTATTCAATGAAAATTTCGCAATGTCTTCATTTTTATTATAAAGTCCATCATTTAAAAGTATTGGTAAAGTTTGTTCAAGTACATATCGACCACGTGCTGTATGTTCTAATTCATTCATACTTAAATAATAAAGAAAAAATTATTTTACAAAAATCAAAATTCTAAATTTTCAAAAGTATTTACGAATTTGCTATTGTTGTTGCTGGATCACAAGCAAGTAATAAACAATTTTGTTTGAATGAATTAATTGTTGTTAATGCTGCTTTTCGAACAGATTCTTTCGTATCATCACAAACAGCTAATAAACGTCGAAATAATTCTTGAAATAATTCAAGATATTGTTGATTATCAATTAATTTTCTATTTGACATTCGAAATATATCTAATAATGCTAATTGTATACTTTCACGTATACGCCAACGTGTTGATAACATATCATTATATAATTCATTGAATATTAATGAAAAATATTTTTCAACAATAATTATTTGTTTAGTTGTTGAAAATAATTTATTCCATATACGTCTTATACATTCTTGTATACGCATTTGTGGATCATATAAAAGACGATGAAGTCTTGAAATTAATTTATCAATATAGATTAAAATAAAATCAATAGATTTTTGTTCATAATTATCTATATGAAATAGTTGTCCATAACGTGTTGTTGACCAAATTGAATTTTCATGTGCTAGATAGAGAAAGGAATAAAATAATTGTGATTTGAGATTTTTTTCTATTGATAATAAGTCAACTAATGAACATAATTCTTTATAAAGTAAAATTTGTGTATTATCAAGTGTTGTTTGTTGTATATTATGTTCATATGCAATAGTTGTTTGTTGACTTGAAAATGAACGTGTACTATCTGTAAAATGTTCGAATAATTTATTATTAAATTTTAATTTTAATTCTTCATTATCAATAATTTCATACATATAAATAAGACATTTACATGATAATTCTTGATTAAGTTCATCTTGATCAAGTAAACCATAGATAAGGTTTGTTTGTAAAGGAAATAATTCGGATTCAAATATTGAACGATATGTTGTTAATAAATAAGGACGACGACAATGTATAAGAAATGTTAATAACCATATAAATGCTGCTTGTCTACTATGTGAATTATTTATATCCGATGAATATTTAAGAATACAGCTAAGAAGATATTTTATTAAATGAAATCGAAGTTCATGTTCATTCGAAGATATGTTTTGAGAAGATGGTAGTTTTTCATTAAGAATAAGATAGGGGTCATCGACCAATGGTGTCTCACCACCAAGAATACAACAAATAAGTGCATCACCTAAAATACAAAAGGATAAGATAAGAATATGAGTCATGAAATAAATGCTTTCTATTTGTTACCGATATTAAGTTGAAGTTCAATTTGTTTTGTATCAACAAGTGCTTGTGTTAAAATTTCAATAATATATTCACTTTTTTCTCTATAACAAACAGCTAAAAAACCTAATGATTGAATAGCTTTTTCTTTAATACGATTTGTTTCATTAATTGTTTTAATTTTAATTTTAATTTTTTCAATAAAATTTTTAATATTTATTTCATCACGATCATTGAAACAATTCATACGTGCTAATTGTCCAATTGAAATTAATAATGCTATTATATATTCATTTTGATTATCAAAAAAAAGTTTCATTAAAATATCTTTTCCATGATTTAAATATTCATTTGATTGTTCAAGATATGAACAAACATATCCAAGCGCAAGTATACTTGCTTCTCGTTGTTCAAAACGTTGATTTAAATTTGGTATAATTTTCATTAATTCATCAATAGCTGATACATTCGATGGATTTTTTGATAAAATATATGCATAAAGTAATGATGAATAACGACGTGTATCATCACGTGTTGAGAAAAGACATAATTGACGAAATGAACTTAGATTTTCATTAATTAATTCAAGAATTTTATTATCATTTAAATAATAACCAATAATAATTGCTTCAAATAAGAAATAAGTTGATAAACAATCATGTACAACAAGAACAAAATCAAGTAAAAATTGTATATAATTATACCAAATAGTTGTATTTTGTTTTGCAATATTATATATGAATGGAAGTTGTTCTTCATATTTCCATAATGGTGTTGTTTTTTCTCCATTAAAACTTTGTCGAATTAAACAACGATGTAAATAATAAATCATCTGTTGATATGTTTGAGGATGATAAACTAATGTTTGTCGACCCATCGGATAATCACCATGTGCGTTTGATAGAATTAATTTAAGTAATGATGGGAAATCAGGATAATCAACATCTTGTTCATTAAATAAATTTCTATTAGCTAATGAACGTATATCTTCATTTTTATCTGAACATGCAGTAAGAAGAATAAAACGTGATGTACTATCATTCGATGGAAATACATTCATTACATAGGATACAGCTGCTTGACGACAATTAGGATAATCAAGTACTACTGTCGTGTCTAAAGATGGATTTGGAATAACTTGTTGAGTTAATAATTGTTGAAGCATATGTTTACTAGCTATACTAGCATCTTTTTGAGAATAGGCCAATAAACTAAAGAGAAATCAATAGATGATTATTTATACGAGACTAAAAGTAATGATTAATAGAATTTCCTCGTTCTTTCCGATTGTCAATCAAAATATTTGAATAAATAATTTATAATATTTTATTAATGATGTATTAGTCATCATTGAAGAGCTAATTATATAACTTTTTTCTGTACGGAATTAAATATAAATCATTTACTTTTTACATACGTTAAAGCTTCTTGAATATTTAAACAACAGTCATTATCTTCAGTTTTTAATGCTTCAAAAAATTGTTGTGTTAATCTTATATCATCACAAAATAATTTTGGTACACGATAAGAAAGTTTACCAATTAAAACATAAGTTAAACTTCGTAAACGTGATCCATCATGTGTTTTATTTATTTCTGTATTAAGAACTTTTTCTAATGCATGTAACAATAATTTCGATACACCAACAAGACTATTCAATTCAGCACTAAAAAATATATTTATTATTTTCAATATATATATTTATTAAAACAAACTTTTGAATAATATTTTGTGCATATTGTAATGAAAAATATTTAATACGAGCATTTGTTGAATTACCAAATAGACTTTCATAAAGAACCTACAAGCAAATGTATTGATTTATTCAATCAATTGTAATAGAGATTTTTCTTTACTTGAATTGAATGTGGAAAAATTGTACTAGCTATTCTTGATTTAAGTAAATAAGGATAGAGTTTTAAACGAATACGCGTATTTGAAGGATTACGAATCATATCTTCATTCTGTATACAGAGAGATTATGTTATTGTTTATATTAAAAATTAAATTTTACTTGTTGTTGTTGTTGTTTAATAGTTTTTAATGTTCCTAAAAAGAATTCAAATAAACCTTGTATATGTTGCATTAAACTCCAATCAACAGCGACTGTTAAACGTTTTATATCATGTTCAGCTGCTAGAACAACACTAAAATTATAAATTATGTTGTTTTATTTTATATTCAATATATAATTAGCGTACCTACGAGTATCTTGAATCAGCTGTTGCTAATACAAAATGAAATATAATTTCATTTTCCGAATAAATATTTCCATTTAAAAATTTTAATATGGCAACTTTAAGCTAAATATATAAATAAAATTCGTCAGAATCATCGATGATTCACACATTCAAAAACTAGAAATATTCCTGCTAAAGTAGGATTATCGATAATAAGACAGTAAATATCTCATTCACTAGTTGAATAGACTTCATAGGATAAAATCGAAGTCTATATTAGTTTTTTTACCTTTTCAACTTGATTTAAATCATCTGTTTGTATTGCTTCCGTTATTCGATTACATAATTGTTCATTCATACATGGAAATGGTTGTTTAAATACTTCAACTTCTTTACTTGGTGCATCTTCCATCGTTGAAAAAAGTGCTTCATCAACAGGTGCTTGAGATGGTTCAACATATGCTCGTTGTTGGCCAGGTGCTGTATTCCGAGATTTTGTTTCTTCAAATCTAAAAATTATTTTATATTTTATTGCATTAGAAAAGATATTTTTTTAACAAACTTGTAAGGTAAAAGAATAACATTAAGAAGAAAATTAAGAAATAAACGTCGAATTATCGGCTGATCAGTAAGTCCATATCTGATAATATTCTCATTCATATTTGGAATAATTTTAACATATTGTAAAGCATAAACAATGAGACCCATGAGTAATTCTTGATGAGAAATTGATCGATTTGGTAAGGATTGAAAAAGAAGAGGAATTAATTCAACTTGTTTATCAGTTTTTAAACGCATAAAACCCATTTTAATATACATCATAGAAAAATTCTATAATAAATTAAGATAAAATAAAACATTCTCTAAATTATAATTTATTACTTACAGAAGCAAATGGCGAACATTGCGTTGATGTTGTAAATATTTCTAAAAGATCTCTCACCGGAATTTGAATTTCTGGACGAGCCTTAACTCGCTTATTTATATGTATAAATACTTCAACTGCCTATGAATATATAAAATGATGTTAGGAAAATTCTTTTTTTATTCATTAAATAAATATCTTTACTTAGACATGATCTTCTCTTTTCTTTTTATAGGTATAAGTATTTCTAACAGCTGATATATCGTGTCAAGTATACCTCATTTTCTTTGCTCGAGATCTGGTTAACCGCTGTAATTATATAAATAGGCAAAGTTTTGGTTTCTTTATTTTGCAATCTATCTAAATCTTGTTTTTTTGGTAATTGAATCTTTATCTTTTGAAATATATGATAGAATTTGTTTACTTAGTTGTTATTGAATATATCTCACTTTAATCTTACTTTTTTTCTAAAATCATCTGTTTGTACTTCAATAGTTCGAATAAGTAATGGTAAAAATATTTTAATTAATTCTTGAAATTGATAATCATCACCACAAGATATCAATTGAATAAAATATCGATTAAGTGAACCTAGAAAATAAAACAATTCGAATTATATAACTAAAAATAAAATTCTCTTACTTGTATCAAGTGGATACACAATATCATCAGTCATATTTTCCATAAGAAAAATTTTATTTTGTACTTATACTTAAAAAAAGAAGTAGTATGACCGGATTTTATATCGCGTGTTTATGATTCATAGTTTTTTCACTATAGACCAACCAATAACGAGCATTACATTCTATGCTATTTAATTTGTTATATAAAATTTTAAATTTATTTATTTAAATAGAATAAACAGAATTTAGAAAAATATTTTAAATAAATATTTATCTGAAATAAAAATTTTTTCTAATTTTATATAATTTTCCTATTGGTTATAAAATGAAAGAACGTCAATAATAATAAATATACAACAACGTTTTTTGCTTTTATCATATTGTTTTTTCTTTTCATTTTGTTTGATGTCAAATAATCTATTTTAGATGTCTCATCGTGAGAATAAAGATCGTCGAACATTATATTGTGGCAATCTACATGAAAATGTCACCGAAGAAATGTTATTTGAATTATTCCTTCAAGTAGATTGATCTCAAATTTTTTTATTAAATTAAAATAAAGAAAAATGAATATTTTTTTTCTAAATTATTAGAGTGGTCCTTTAGAAGCAGTTACAATGAAACGTGATGGTCGTCGTTCATTTGCTTTTATTACATTTAAACATGAAGAATCAGTTCCATATGCTGAAGCAATCATGGAAAATGTGTCTTTATTTAATCGTCCATTACGTTTAGCAGCTCGTGCATCAAATAAAGATTTTAATAATAATCCAAATGAACCATATACACCAGAAATATATGTCACTGATACATCGTTACATCGTTCAGCACCATGGCAATCACCGCAACAGCAGCAGCAGCCACAACAACCACCATTACCAGTAACTCTTTTTTCCAATAATGATAACAATTATCCAGCTCAACCACAATATGCATATGAAGATCGAATTCAACCACAAAGATATGATCGTCGAAAACAACATTCTTATCATCCATATAATAGAAATGAACAAGATTATCCAAATATGAAACAACGTAATGGAAATTATAATCAACAACGAAGAGGAGGAGGCGGAGGAGGAGGAGGTTATAATAATTATTACCGTTAGAAAGAATAGTTAAGATATTCCTATTCGTCAATATCTCATATTATTTTGTATGTACATATAGATTTATTTGTTTCTTTTTTTTTCTTGTCTTGTGAAAAAATTCTTTTTTTTTGTCGAACGATATCGATTGACAAATCGATACGAAGGAGAAAAAAAAATGAGAAAGAGAGACAGACGAAACATGGATGATTAGTATGAACGTGAATATGAAGGACAAACATTGATCATCCTTCATGGTTATTTACAAACAAAAAAAATTGCTTTCTTTGGTTTTTTTTAGATTTATATTCAATAATTACATTGATTAATATTTATTAGAAATTCATTAGAATAATATCATAAGAATAAAACAGATATAACTGTTATTTTCTGAATTAGATAAGACATTCTATTATTGTATTGTCTTATAAGATATTTTCAGTTTCTCTTTACGTTGGTTGAAGGCAAAAGTCATTTGGAATCAAGCGCATCGTACATATATATTTATTGAATTATATACTATTAATAATAAATCTTATTTACTTTTGTTTTTTTAGTATAAACTAATCAATGAACACATGAAACTTTAACTTATGAATTTTTATTTTCTATTTTTAGATTTAAATTTATAGAATAAATTCTTCTACAGTTTGTCTTGTTGTTCACAATAATTCATTCGACTAAATCTATAGAAGTACTTGAAACAGCCATCATTGGAAAGAAAAAAGTGTCATAATTTCAAATCGATATTTGATCGATTCTCGATCTTGATAGACTTACTAAAGAATATACACAATATATTAAAATTCTTGTTAATAAATTGCATTTGAAAACTGTCAGTGTATGTTATTTTGACAGCAGTCAAAAAACATACGCAAAGAAAAAATATGCATGAGAAAAATGGTGGTGATGATATAATCTCACGAAAAGTGAATATCATAACAGTCAGCATATAGATTTTCGCTTCAAATTACAAACAATTGATTTTTATTCTTGCTTATCTATGTTTTTGTTACATTGAATCGATCAGTTCATTTCTAATTGGAATGCTTCAGCATAGAGTAATATTTTACTAAAAAACCTTAAACTTATTTCTAGATAAAATATGGCAACAACCATTCAAAATGAAAGTAAAAATACAGAAAGAGAAAAGGCAAATTTACTTAATTTGATTAAGTAAGTTTTATTTTTATTCAGTTTCATTTATATATTCGAAAAATTTATTTTATTAGATTAACACTGAATACATTAATTGATCAATCATCATCGCCCAGTGCAATACCAATTCTTGACGATCGTAATACTGATATAACGAATTTTATTCTAGTACTTGAACGAATTCTCAGTTTTCGTATGCGAGGTAATTAGTAAGAGTAGAAAAACATGTTTAAATATTTAAAAAAAATGATTTTCTTCTATTGAATAGCAAGTTGGTTAACCGATCGAACTTATTTTTGGGATTTTATTCGACCAGCATGTATTGGTTCTTGTCGAAAACCTAGTAAGAATAGCATTTAAAATATTATATTGATATATCTTTTTTGTTTGATAGTCATTGAACGAGTTGAAGAAATATCAAATTCTCGTAATTCAAAAGATAAAGTACGATTATCAGAAACAAAATGATAGCCAAATCTTATTTTTGAATTTTTTTCTTCCAGGGTCGAGCATGGCTCAAATTAGCATTAATGGAGAAGAAACTTTCTGAACTTTTAAAACTTGTCATTTCTGATTGTCATCTTGTTCGGTATGTGAAAGAAGAAAAAGAGTCTAAAAAAATTATCAAAAATTCATTTTCTTAGAAAATTCTATCATGATGATTCAATAATGACATCATCGCAAGCATTTATCATATGTGATCAATTAGCTGCATTAAATGCCATTGATTTCAGGTATTGCAAACTGATTTTTTTTCATAATATTATTTATTGTAAAATTATTCCAATTTTAGTTTTTGTTTCAAACAAGATAATCTAATACTTGCTCCTCTTCTATTAAATGATTCAGAAATTGATGTTATTGATTTAACACCATTTTTATGTTACAAATCCAAACAGTAAATTTTTTAAAAAAAATAATTGATTCTATGTTTTTCTGTCTTTCTAATAATAGAATTAAACAAGCATTGAAAGATCAAAATAGTAATGAAGAAAATAAACAACCATCACCAAATTTAGCATCTATGAATGAACAGAATTTATTGAATTCATCGCAAGGTGAAGTATTATCAATAGAAAAATATAAACTTGAAGTTGAACAACGAGTAAATATTAAATTGAAAATTTATATTTTTTTGTTTATTAAAATTAAATTTTATTATAGAAATACTTTGAAGAACTTTTACGACATCGTGATCGTGAATTACAACAATTAAAAATTCGTTATGATACATTAAAAAGTGAACGCGAGAGAGAAATCGTACAAATGGAGAATATTATTCTTGAACTTCAACTTGAATTGTTTGTATAAATGTTAAATAATTATCCTTAAAAAGAATTATTTTTATGATTAGACGAACAGCTCGAGATGACATTGAATTTCGACGTAGGAAATCACTACAACCAGGTTCAAACTCACCACCGAAAAATTCTTCTCATTTAAATAATCAAAAAATAAATTCACCGCCAACACCAACAAATGATCAAACGTAAATAATTTATTTCAAGAAAAGAAAATTCTTAAGATTTCCTATTTCAGGAAAATACGAACACCTGAATCTGTAGAAAATACTGATTCCAAACAATCGAATGATTTAATTTATTCATCATCTAGTCGTTCAAGTCATTCTACAACAACAACAAATACAGATGATGATCAATATGATCTTGCTCGTCAATTACCATCAAATACTAATCATAAAGTTACTGAAATGAAATCAATATCAAGTCCAGAAATGATTTCATCAGCAACTTCCCTTTCAATTTCATCTACGGATGAAGAAGAACAACGAATGCAAACAGTAACTACAACTACGCCAGAGGATTCTAGTCAAACTCAATCTAATGAAATACCAGTTGAATAATTATAGTCAATATACCAAGATAATACAATTTTTAATTCTTTTATTCCATTTTTTTAAAAAAAACTTTTTTGTAGATAAAAATATTTCTTTTCTTTTTTTTTTAATTTACTGCTTAGCATTGAAACTGTATGTAAATATAATTTAAATTATTTTTCACGTCTTTATACATATCATTTGAGAATACAACATATTGTTATTTGATTTTTTTTTTCATATTTATATATATCAAATTTCGAAAATTATTAATTGTGTGATAAAACAACGATTTTTTTTTGTGATTATTAAGAAATTTAAGGTATAAAAGTCCTGTACATGATATATATTATTTATTTGTCGATGAATCTATTGAAGCGTAAAAATAGAGACAGAAAAACACTGCCTTAAACCTAAATATTCAGGTCAGACAAAAACAAGCAAAAATAATCTTCACCTTTTTCTTATTTTTGTTTTTAATCAAGAACAAAAATACAGTGCTTACCTGTTCTATTAAATAATAACACAAGATTGTTAATAAAAGTTGTGTCGACATCAGTGAATGTAATTGATTCTACTAATCATCATTTCGAAAGAACGGTTTTACTACTAATAAAATTCATAAACTACCTGCGTGTTACACATCAGAATAAGTCAATTTTTCATCTGATAAATAAAAAATATCAAGGACGTGACTAAATCAAAATGTGCTGGTAAAGTACTCGAGATGCTAGTACTAATAATCTTTGTCTTACGGTTGTACAAACTAGAAACGATGGATTAACTGAAATAAGTTCATATCAATATTTTTTTAATCGAAGTAATTATAGGGACACGTGTTGTTGTTATTAAGTTGTAAAATAAATCTTGCATAAGGTTACATAGTAAAGAAATTTGTTTTTATTTCAAAGAATACACTCAAAAATATGACGTACTTTTTTTCTCATGATAATAATTTTCTATTTACAGATTGATGGAGTTTAGTGCAGATCTAATTGATGATCGTGTTTGGCTTGGAAGTCTTGATGCTATGGAAAATACCATTGCATTAGATAGTCTTCATATTACACATATTATAAGTATAATCAATTCAGAATTACCAACTGACGCAAATGATAATCGTATACGTAAACATATTCGTGTTGAAGATATGGAAACAACAGATTTATTAACTGAATTTGATTCATGTTATGATTTTATTGATAAAGCTTTATCAGACGATTCAAAAAGTAATGTACTTATTCATTGTCAAGCTGGTTAGTCAGAAAATTAAATTAAATTTCTATTATTTTTATTTTTAAAAGGTGTATCTCGTAGTGCAACAATTGCGTGTATGTGGTTAATGCGTCGGTATAAATTATCGGCTAATATTGCATTAAAACGTTTAAGACTTGCACGTCCTATTGTTCATCCAAATCCGAGTTTTTCAGCTCAATTATATTTATTTGAACAAATGAATAATCAATTAGATCTTAATCATGGATTGTATAAAGAATTTCAATTTGAACGTACTCGTGCTATTTATATTAATCATGATACAGAAAATGATGGAATTGATGGGAAAAATAATCTTCGTCAACAATTTCACCAAGCATTTACACTTCCTTATGGTCATGCTACATGTACTATTATAGAAACATACATATGTCGAGAATGTCATAGAGAATTATTTACTAATGCTGATTTATCACGACATTCTGAAGGTGGTGGATTATTTGATTGGTTTATGAAATATGGAGTTGAAAAACAAATGAAATCCGAGCTGGAAAAAGAATGTCACCAGAAACTATTTACAAATTATCTTGAATGGGTAATGATTCAAATTGATCAACCTGAAAATGCTCATTTTGATACTATTAAATGTCCGCAATGTTCTACAATTGTAGGAAAATATAATTTAAATGGTGCAAAATGTTCTTGTAGTAGATGGGTAACACCGGCATTATATTTTGATATCGATAAAATCGAACAAAAAGCAATTACAAAAATGAATATCGAAACGAAAAATATTTCGTCGTAATGATCGTTGTCTTTAGAACAAAAAAAAAACAAAATTCTTAAGTTTTGTATCACATGAAAAATGTTCTTTTCAATTTTAATTTTAATCATTCATATAAAATTATCACCAAGTAAATATAAAAATAAGAAAGACTGTAAACATAAACATAAATAATCTTAAAATTGATCATATGTAAGTTTAATTTATGATTGAAAATTATTTATGTATTATTATACGCCCATTTATGACAATCACATGAACATGGACCAAAAGAATCCATAAAACCAGGACCAAAACGATCTTGAAAAAAATGACAACCACGACAATCATTACAATTTGATGATTTAGGTGAATCTGAACCGGATGATTTATCACGTTCTTAATAAAGATTATTTATTAGTATTTTTTATAGTACTTTCTTATACTTGCTTCTTTTTGAACGACCACGTGGTGATCTACTTCTATGTCGTGAAGATCGATCAGGTGATTCGTCGGAATATCGAGATGATTTTTTCTTTTTTTTTGAAGATTTTTCTACTGATTTTTGTCTCGTTGAAGATTTATTTGAATTTTCGGGAGATTTATTATTTAAATTCGTTGAGGTGGTTTCAACTGATTCATTCTGTTGTGTTACAGGTCGAAGAAGACAATTATTATCGATTGTTAATGGAGGCAGTATAAGTTGAATCTGTTGAAGTTTATCAATATATTGTTCGATTGAATGCATATTTTCTGAAAAAATATCAAAATCTTGTTGTGTACCACCTTTTTTTCTAATTAATTCTTTTAATTTATTATTCATTTCATTCAATTGTTCACGTTGTTTATAAGTAGTTTCATCAATAAATTCTTGACGTTTTTTATCATAAAAATCATCGATTATTTTATAGGATTGTTGACGCCATTCATCAAGTTGTTGAAGACCTGATTGTTCACCATCATAAAATTTATTAAAACGATCTAATAAAACATTGATTTTATCAATAAATGGAAGAAGTTTTTCATTGCGTTGATTAGCATGCTCATTTAAATGATCAATACATAAATCTTTTTTACAACATTGACATAAAGCAAGAGATGCAAGCTCACATTTTTCAGCAACGCATGGTAAAGATGATATTGTTGACATTTTCCTTTCGTACGTGCGTACGTATATGTGTGTTTATGTGAAACGAAATGAAACAGAAACAAATACTTATGAAAGAACGAACAAGGTTTTTTCCTTTCATAAACGTCTAAAAGATGCAGAACGAAAGAAAAATCCGTTTGTTAAAAGCATCATCAAGGCGGCATGTAAACTATATAAAAAAAAAAAGAAAATATTTTTTACTAAATACAAAACATGTATCCCGTTACCTTGTCTGTATTGAAATTTATGTAAATGAAAATGAATATAGTGTAATATTATACTATTTTAAGATTATTCTAATAAGATAAATAAAGATTTATCATCAGAGTAAAAATTTATAGAATAATATGGATATAATTATCTTATTATTAAATAGATCAACATAGGAACTAGTTTTATATTTTTACAAAATTTTAAGTTCAATCGATTTGTGCAGATAATTAAAATCGTAGACATCTAACAACAGTTCTATCTACTCAATGAGGACATCTATATACCTTTTCGCCATTTGTCGATAATATTACTACTATGTTCGGTCCGTCCTTCATTCCATCGATCGATCTGTATCTTTTTTTTTGTTGTTCTTCGCATGACTACATAGATACAATTTGATTCCGTGTCCTGTTTTTCTCTTTCCATTAAACAATGCTGATAAAATCATTTTTAATTAATTTAATCTTACTTCTTTTGTTCATAATTCATGTCATCACTAGTCTAGGTAAATTTTTGATATTTATTTGAAATAAAAAATATCGCAAAAATTTTCTTCGTTATAGAACAATGTAATTCACAAGAATCATGTTCATCATGTTTATCATTATCAAATCAATGTGCTTGGTGTTCTCAGGTAAAATAAATAAGAATAAAAAAAAAGAAGAATTCTATTTTAAAATTTAATTGATTAGAATTCATCGGATATGTCAACACGTAATGGTTCTTTTTTTCATTGTGACACAATTGATAATTTACAATTGACATGTCCAGATCATTTAGTATCATTTAAAAGTTATCATTATGTTTTACAAAATGATTCACTTTCAAATGCAATTACGAATACATCACAAGCTGTTCAATTATCTCCTCAAGCTGTTCATGTTATATTACGAATAAGTAAAAAATAATTTATGATAAATTATAATTTATTTATTTTTTTCAATTTTTGCTAGATGATTCAGAAAAAATTCCAATACGTTTTCGTCAAGCAGAAGATTATCCAGTTGATTTATATTTTCTCATGGATTTATCACATTCTATGCTTGATGATAAAGAAAAATTAAGTTATTTAGGACGAATATTAGCAACACAAATGCAATCAATAACAAAAAATTTTCGTCTTGGTTTTGGTTCATTTGTTGATAAAAATGTTCCACCATTTGTACAACCAGCACCAAATACGTAAGAATTCTTATTTACAAAAAAAAAACAATATATTTTATAATTATTAGAGTTGAACGTCCATGTCCAACTAGTTATAATGGACCCTGTGTTAAAGCTTATGGATTTAAACATCATATGAAATTATCAGATGATGTTGCGGAATTTGAGGTTTGAATTTTAGATCGATATATATATTGTTTTCAATATATCAAAGTTTTGTTTATAATTTTAGTATCAAGTACGAGAAGCACCCGTTTCCGGAAATATTGATGCACCTGAAGGTGGACTTGATGCTGTTATGCAAGCTATTGTTTGTGATGTATATAGATTTATATTAAAAAAGAGAAATATATATTCTTAATCTATTTATTCTTTTTTTTCAAGGATATTATTGGTTGGAGAAATGATTCTCGAAAATTAATTGTTTTTTCAACAGATGCTGGTTTTCATTATGCAGGCGATGGAAGAGTATGTAACATATGTACTAAAAAGATTAGCACCATTAGTAATTTGCTTCAGGCAAAAAAATTGTTCTGCCCTTTTTCCGAGAGATAAATAGCCTTTCAAGGTAATTTCAATAGTATTCATAGGGATATCTAAAAAGATTCTTTTGAAAAAAAACAACTTGTTATAAGTGATTGTAAATTAATCTATTAGCTTGATGACTAATTCTTTTTTCTTGTATCTAGTTGGCAGGTATTATTGAACCAAATGATGGTGAATGTCATATGACGAATAATGAATATACACATAGTGATAAACAAGTAAAAATTAATTTGTGGTTTTTTTAAAAGACAATAATTTTTTTTCAAGGATTATCCATCTATTGGTCAAATAAGCGCGAAATTAAGTGAAAAAAATGTGAATATTATATTTGCTGTGACACAATCTCAATTAGCTCTCTATCAAACACTTACGGAATTAATCGATGGTGCTGTTGTTGGTGAATTAAAACAAGATTCTAGTAATATTGTTAATTTAATTAGTCAAAATTATCGAGTATTTATTTCATATCGTTAAATAATTTTGTAATAATACATTTTATATTTAGAAAATTTCATCATCGATCATGATGATGGTTTCTAATGATTTACCTGATGGTTTGACAGTTAAATTTACACCTGATTGTCAAGAGTAAATAAACAATGTTTTTCTATACTATTTATTATTTATAACTTTTTTTTGTAGAAATAAACGAAATAAACCAGAATGTACAGTTAATGTTGGTGGTGTTGTAAGTAGAATTAAATAAATGTTGAACATTCTTTTAATATTTTTATATGTTTAGCTTAATTTTGAAGTTGAAATACTTGCAACAAAATGTATAAATAATGGTGCACCAACAACATTTTCAATCTATACTCATGGATTAAATGATAAAATACGTATAACATTTCAAACAAATTGTTCATGTCCATGTTCAAAAGTTCCACGTCAAGCAAATGGTCCACAATGTTCAAATCATGGTATATATGAATGTGGAGTTTGTGCATGTGAAAAGGGTTTCTATGGACGAGAATGTGAATGTGATAAACATTCAACAAATGCTGATGAAAAACGTAAACAATGTATAAAGTAAGAAAAAAACGAAATTGATGTTTAATCTTTTACAAATTTATTTTTTATTCTAGACCGGGAACATCAGATATTTGTTCTGGACGCGGACAATGTACTTGTGGAAGATGTGCCTGTGAATCAGCAACAACACTTGGAGTAAGAAATGAATAGATGAAATGAAATTATTATTTATTATTATTATTTAGACGGATCAACGTATATATGGAGATTATTGTGAATGTGATGATTTTTCATGTCCAAGAAAGAATGATCTTATTTGTTCGGGTAACGAAGAAAATTATTTTTAAAAATTGAATTATAACATATATATATGTAGGAGCTGATCATGGTATATGTACTTGTGATAAACGATGTAAATGTAAAGAAGGTTGGACAGGAGATGATTGTTCATGTACAACAAAAACGGATACTTGTCGTGTGAATAATGTATGTTGAAATATATTCTGAATTTTATTTAATTGAACTTGTTTTTGTTTTATCAATTAGACTATTTGTAATAATCAAGGTGTATGTGAATGTGGTCGATGTAAATGTAATAAAGATTCTGGATATCTGGGACCAACATGCGAAGACTGTCCTGTAAGTACATCAATTAACATAAAAGTTTTACTGATAGTTTGTTCTTTCAAATATTTGTTATAAACTTGATAAAGTCGCTCATCAGGTTATAATTAGAGTATCCAAATTTTGTTTTAGTGTATGATACATAAATGATTAAGACAATGATTTCTCTATAGATTTATTTGATTCTCACACGGGAATTATTAGCAGACGTAACATAACATTACTTTAACATGAACATAAAGTGACCTCAACTTTTTGTAAATAATATTCAATCCTTTTAATGAGTTGAGCAATGACATCTAAAGAATTAATCTATTAGAAATGTATGTTTAAATAATTTTTGTTTTAATTTCTAGACATGTGAACATCGTTGTGCTGCTACTAAAGATTGTGTTCTTTGTAAAGTATTTCAAAGTGGATCATTAACAGACGAACAATGTGACCAATGTCCATATCGCTTTGAAACTATTGACGATGCTCGAAGTAATAAAAATGATTATTTATTCAAAATCTCTATTTAAATAAAATTATTTAATATTTTGTAGAAGATCGTTATCATCGTTTATGTCAATTTGATGATGAACAAGATCAATGTCGATTTTTTTATACATATCATAATGAAAAAGATCAACTTGTTTTACGAGTTCAAAAAACTAAAAGTAATTATTTTTATTTATTTATTATTTTCTTTAAAATAATGTATTTCATGAAAAAGGTTGTCGACGTATATTATCTGTTCGTTCAACAATAATAATTATTGTTTCAAGTATATTAGCATTTGGTTTATTTTGTTTAATGGTATGGCGTATGTTAGCTACATTACATGATCGAAGAGAATTTGCTAAATTTGAACAAGAACGTGAAAAAGCAAAATGGGAAACAGTAAGATTTGAAAAAAAAAATAAGATAAAATTTTATTCATAAATATTTTACGTTTTAGGATGTAAATCCACTTTATCGCCAAGCAACTGTCAAATATCAAAATCCGACTTATCGTGGCTACAAAGTAGCTGCTGCCTTAGATAGCAATCAGTGAAAATATTTCGACAAAATTTATTCTAAACATTTTCTAGTCTTTTTTTTGTCTTTGTTTTGTTTTCTTTTTTAATGGAAAATTAGTTCACATATTTAATCGCTAATGCTCACATTTCATTTAGGTCAGATCACAATTCTCTTTTCTTTTTTTGCATGTTAACTTGTGTATAATCTCAGATAGAACAAAAAACTCATTTTTAATCAACAATTTTTTTTGTATTGCTAGAGTATTTAATATCGATTAATTAAAACATTTTTTTTCTTGTTTTGTCTTTTTCCTACATATATGTACGAAAATTTTTTAATAATAAATAATCTAATTGAACTTATTACTTATTGCTTTTATTTTAAATTTAGATTGGTTACTTTTCTTTTTTATGAAATGCGTCTGATGGATCATCATGATAATCCGCAAATTGTCAAACGAGACAATAGTAATCATTCAAGTCCAATACCAACACCATCACCACCACCAAATAATCTACGTGTGAATAGTATTGTACGTTTAACAACGATATTTGATGATACACGTGTTGGAAAAGTTGTTGCATTTGATAATGGATCAAATTTGGTTACATTACGTAAATAGATTTTTGAAAAACGAACACCTCTAATTAAGTTTACAAAATACTTTTTTTTTTAATTTAGATATGAAAGGTTCAAAACCAGGTTTAACATCTATTGCAGTTATTAATCTTATTCATTGTCGAGAATGGACTGTTGTACAAGAACCAACGGATGAAACACTTGAACCACTTTATCCAATTGATATAAATAAAGTATGCCTAACACGAACAGCAGTGAATCTTTGAATAAGAATTAGAATTAAAATGCTTTATTTTTATATATCTCTGAGAAGCAATACGATGCTATAATTATTTAGATTCTTTCAATGATGAAAAAAGAAATGATATATGATAGATAATATATCAAAATCTTAAAGACTCCGAAAAGGTCAATCACTACTGGATATCAAAGAGACACGTCGTATGTAATATATAACATTATGAAACTGTGGATAAATGATAATGAATAGTTTTATGTCATCTATATCTTTTGTATCTCTCGTAATTCTCTATAGATGAATGCAAGATGTATTACTTTTCCTAACATTTAATTGAATTATTTTATTTTAGTTGAAAAAACGTCAAACAGAAAATGAAGGTGAAAAAAGAAAAGAAGCATTGTTTGTTAATTTAAAAGCTAGTCGAACTGGTCAAGCACTATTTCGAGATATAAAAAAGACGTAAATTATCTTTTGTTCTTTTTTTGTCTTTAAAAAAATTAAAATCATCTCTTTTTCTCATTTTTTTAGGATGAATCAAGTTATTCGTTGGTCAAATAATGATATTCTTATTAATAATACTGTTCGAATTGTTGATCCATATCGTGCAGAACATGTTTCTATTGATGCTCCACCACAATCAGCTAATACAACAGTTTCTAAAACATCAGCCAAAGGAGATAATGATACAAAAACACATATTATTAAATTGGTAAGTTTTTAGATCAGAAAAAAGAAAAAAATAATCGAAAAAATCATATTATTTTAGGTAGATAAATTTTGGTTAGACCAAGCAAAACTATCATCGAATACGGATTCAAATTCGTCTACACGAAATAAATCAGACAATTCAAATAAACAAGTAGATTCAACATCAACAGCTTGATAGAGATATCGTGGCATTTTTCTTTTATTCTCTTTTTCATTTGGCTATGATCTCAGATGTTCATGTGTGTGTGTGTTTGGGTATGCGTCTGTAAAAGCATGTTCGTTCTTCTATTTCTTTTTTTTTCCGTTGTTCAAGAAGTGGGTTGTAAAACTGAAAAAAAAGATCAAATTTTTTTCTTTTTATTTCTACTTTATATTATTACTATGATCATCTTTTATAACCCTTTTCCTCTTTTATTGTTAAAACATCATCAGCACACATATATATATATATATGTACACACACATACATAAACTATTTTTTTTTGCCTTGTTTGTTCGATTGTTTTTTTTCTGTGCAAGAGTAAAAAAGGAGGAAGAAGAAGAGGAATAAAAGTGTCTGTTGTTACCGCAATTATTCATTTAAATATCGAAAGAAAGAAAGTAAGACAATATTATCAACATTCGATAAATAAATGTTCGTGAATATAAGTTCGTATTTAAATCGAACTATGAAATCAAGAATTATACGCATGATGCAATAAATCATCTACATATTAAACTAAAAAAAATCCATATGTGTATGTGTGCACAATGTATATATAAATTCTCTATAGCATATAACTATGATACGAAATTAACATATAAATCATATATAAAAAGAATCTGCTTGAATGATGTGAAATTATTCATATGGACAATATTAATATTCATACATAAAAGCCAATATTGAACAATTGAAGATGACAAAAGAATAATGACAATTATTTGTAATATTCGATACAATAGGAAGCCGGTTAGTTTCTTTGTACACGATACACAGATAGACAGACGCAGTCACGTTCGTTATTGAAAATTATATTTTCACTCATCTTCAACTAACATCAATTGCAATCTATACAATAGGCTTGAACGAAATAAGAATACGAAAAAAAATTAGTCTCGACGTTTTTTTTTACTTTTAATGTAATGATATTGTCCGTATGACAATAAAAGTAATAGCTGATCATGTACTATTATAATAACTAGTAAGCAAAGCAAATGATAACATTCATCTGTGAGATTTTTTTTCGATCAAGATAGATCGATTTCAAATTGCATTTATTACAACATACATCCTCTATATTTATATACGATTTTTTTTTGTTCATCGTATCAATATAATGATGATAATGATGTTGATGATCATGATGATGATCGTGATGATGATGATGATGATGATGACATCATAAACATTGGTCATTGTAATCGCATTTGACAAATAGTGATTAAAAGATATACTAATCTTTACTATGGTTGGAATGAAAATGGGTGAAACTACAAAATGGTCAAATATTGCATTCGGACGAATTCCACTCAAATTACCAACTACTTCAATGCCTAATGTTAATCTTACTACACATAGTAATCAGATAAATGAACAAATTTTAACAAGTTCACTAAATAATCAACGATATCGTACTGAATTATCGTTGAATGTTGGAAATTATTCTTTTAATGTTAAACAAGCAGTAAGTTGTTTCTTTGAATAAATTTTTAGGAAGAATATGTAGTCTAGATTTGGTTCTCACACAATCATTGATGATTAAATGATAATCAATTTATAGTAGAATGAGATATCATTGAAGACAAGATACAAAAAAAATCAATTTATCATTTTTATTCTTTATTAGATAAGATAATTAACAAAAAAAGAAACATATATACATATATTATCTATATATACATATCTATTTCATCTATAGTGAAGGACTAAGTTTAATTAAAACCTTACATAAACAAAACTAATTTTTTAATCAGAGTTAAACTTTTGTTTCAATTATTGCTGCTTTCTTATTTTATACAAACGATTCTGACATGTGCTAAGGTTAATTTTCATCTAAATAATATTTATATGTATATATATATATATGTTGCATCAACTTTTATACTATTCTTTTTTCTACATATCTTTGACATATCACTGTCTGTTATCGGTCTTTTTTGACCCTTTTCCTTTTCTTATATATACATCTACAACTATATACATACACATTCTCGTGCATCGAGATATATATATATATATATATATACACATTCAGTCTATTGGTCTGACTGATTGTTCAGAAAGCTATAAAACATATGTGCACGCAATAAGAAAAAAGAAAATGAGCATAATCGTAGTCATTAACTTCTTTCGATATGATAGACGATAGATGAGATGCTACGAGATGATAAACATCAATATTTTCCAATGGAGTCATTGTGGGTAAGAATAGTTAGGTTTTTTTCTATTATTACTATATTATGATATTTTCCATAATGAAAAATCTCAGCGTCTGTTAGAACATGATTGCTAGTTATGATTAAGAATAGAGAAAAAAACAGGAAAAGACTTCTCTGTTGAAAAAACATCATGTGTCTAACATATACAATCACACATGGAGAAAACAGATTTATTGATAGATAATAATAAAAAAGAATAAAGAAATAATTTTTATTAATTTATTAGTCCAGATGTACAATAATAATCTTACATGTGTATTTTAGGATTCTGATCGTTTAGCAGACAAATTACATAGATTAGAAAATGAACGTAGTTCATTAAATTCACAAATTCAACTTTTAAGTGAAAAATTAGAACTTCAACATGATACTATTTATGAATATGAACAATTACAACGTCGAACAAAAACAAAATATCGTAATCTAACAACAAATTCATCTAATTTCTATCATGCTCATGTTCATCAACAATCTCCGTCTTTTATACATCACGTATGTACTATATATATACATCTCATTAAATGGTTCGATCCGACTAGTAGAAGTAATGTTACTTCGTCGGTCAGACACTGAATAAGATGCACAATATGTATATGCATGTATATATGTACATGAACATAGTAAAAGAAAAAGAACTATAAAATTGGCTTGTGCTTGCTTATTATACTCTCGTATATACATCCGTAGATGCTCAATGCAATAGTAGATGCCGAAAGAGAAATATATGTATTGAATGTGATGGTGGTCGTTGTCGTCGCCATCATCATATTTGTCGAAAACAGAACACTCGTAGGCAAAGAAGGACAAGCACATAGGAGTGAGAAAAGAAAAAGAAAGGCAAAAGAAAAAATACAAAAATAACACTAGAGAGAAAGAAGAAAAAAGAGGAGGAGAAAGGAAAGGAGAACAGGTTGACGCTTGGCTTGTGTACGCCTGTACTTTTCATACCTTCGCCATGGTCAGTATTTAATCCATCAGCCTCATTCGTTCATTTTGTTCGAAATGAGTCTCGTAGTGAAGACATTATCGTGTGGCAGTTTTAGTAATGGTAATAGTAGCAACGGTAATATTAATACCAAATCTATGCATATGCGACAGAACACAGGTGGAATAATGCCGTTAAAAAAAATAAAGGTTAGTTAAGCGCACGTGTTAATAAATCAAATGAAAATATTTTGTATATGTCTGATATTTATAATGAAAAGTTTCTAATTTGAATATAAAAACAATTATTATGATTTATCTATTTGTTGTTTAGGATCAATTACAACCAATGATCGATCCATCACAATTTTTAAATGAAATAAATCATTTTAAAATTCGTCTTGATACATTAGAAAAAGAACGTTATGAACTTGAAGATAAAGTTCGACGACTTCAGGTATGTTTATTTGTTTTTTTCGTCTGTTAATTAAAATATCTTTTATTGTTTATTCGTTTCTTTTTCCCAAGGAAGAAAATGAAGCATATAAAAGTCGTCTTGCTAATGGAAATAATGACTGGATTAGTTCTCGATCAACATCGGCACTCAATGGACGTGTGACCCCATTGTCAGTAGCTGGTAAGAGATATCTTATGACGCAAAAAAGTCTTTTGTCTAAAAGTGACAGGCGTATATGTATGAGTTTGCTCTTATTTGATCAATCTCTTCAAGGCAAGGTCGAACGTTTCCTGAGAAGAGAAGAAAAGAGGAGCAACCGAGGATACATTATGATAATGATGATGATGATGATGTTCTACCACTGTTTTCCTAGATATTTTTCTGTTCTCTTTTTTTTTTGTTTGTCTTAGTTTCTTCTTTTTCCCTCTTCTTTCTTTCTCTTTATTCTTCTTTCTATTATGTCTATGTACAAGATCGTTCGATCTATCAAACAATTATTTTATGTTAGATTGAGTTCCGCACTATAGAATATTGTCTAGAAATCGAATGTCGTCCTATACTACGGCCGAGATCAATGTTGAACCATGGGTTTTTGTTTATCCACATGTTGTCACTAGTGCACTTCCGCCAAGGTATCCATTACAACATTCTATTCGTCGTGGTAAGTATGAAAAAGAAGAAGAAGAAATGAATATAGAATGGCGATCTATGTGTATGTGTGTGTGTCAGCTGATGATAGTCGAGGTCATTCTATGTTCGTTATATTGCTGAGTTCAAACAATCAACACATTTCTTTTCTTTCGCCTTCTGTTGGTCTATATTCGCCTTCTTTTTTTTTCACTCATACATTCATACTTACTCATATTCTTGTTCTTGTCGTTACAATATCGTTAACAAACAGTTGTTTCTAATTTGCTTGTCCTATATATTTCTTAGAAAATGACATCGAACGTTTGAAACGACGTATTGAATCTCTTGTCAAATCAAACGACGAAAAAGTAATTATTAACAATAATTACCATGTTGTCTATATTACATACCATACACATATATATTTATCATAGGAAAGAAAAATTGAAGATTTACAAAGTCAAATAACAAGATATCATTCAATTACTTTATCATCAATAACACCAATAAACGAAGCTGAATTATTAATATCCTCGTCGAGTAATATAAAAAAGGTCGAGAATTCTAGTATGTATATACATTGCAATATAAACGTTTAAAGGTCATCTACGATTTATTTAGTCAATAATAATAATAATAATAACACCAATCAACGACCTGGTTACGAAGCAGACGGTGATAATTCAGATTCAAATTCATTACCATCTGATACTAGTGATAAAGATTCACAAGTAAAAAATTTATCTATTAAAATACAAAGTTCATATTTTTTTTTATAAAAATTTAGCCATCACAAAAACCTCCATCCTCATCATCTTGTCTACTAACTCGATCATCGCATAATGGTCATGATTCATCTATAAATTCTTATCAAAATCCATTATCAAAATTAAAACTTGACGTATTACAACGTGTACGTATATATACAACATATCTATTTCATTCATAAAAAAAAATCTCTTTTTTTATCTCTAGGCTTCAAGTGCTGAACCAATGATGACTAGAGAATTGACTAGTGTATGTTCACATTTAATTTATAACAAACGAAATATCGTTTTATTATTGTTTAGACTCCTATTCGTGATAAACAACCACAACAACAATATCAACAGCAACATCAACAATCAGCAATTATTCGAACACTTACAGCCGATGAAAGAATGAATCGTCCATGTAAAAAATATATATATGAAATAAATGTAAATAGTTAATTTTATTTTTAGATGATCAAAGTGGTTATATATCGGATGGACCAAGCCAAAAATATTCTATTTATAAAAAAGCAACATCAACAAATTTAGATAAAAGTAAATCATCAAGTGCCAAAGGATTAAAAAGTATTTTTGGAAGGTAAAATAATAATTCATACATAGAATTTAGAAAAACATCTATGATATCATTATTTAGAATTATTCGAACTAATTCGGGAAATTTTCGTGAAGATAGTGAACATCATTCTCATAGCCCATTTCAACGTGGAGGCTTAAGAGCAACAACAAGTGGTGGAAAAACTTCACTTAAACCACTTAGGTAAGAAAAAATAGAAAATAGAACTAGAAATATAGAGGTTACTAAAATTTAATTTTTTCTTTTGTTTTTATTTCAGCGCTTTAGAAACTACATTTTCTCGTTGGCAAACTGAACAAGTTGTAAATTGGTTATATGGCATTGGCCTTGGCCAATATGCTAGTGAATGTCGTAAACATTTTAAAAATGGTTTACAACTTTTACATGCAACACCACAAGAATTAGAAAAAGTAATAATGCAAAGAAAATATTTTTATCGATATAGAATAATTTCTTTTAGAAAATTGGCATGCGTAATCCATTGCATCGTAAAAAACTTCAATTATGTTTAAATGGTTTATGTACACGACAAAATGAAGCAAATATTCTTGATGCACATTGGGTTCAAAGTATGATAAATATATTCATTATTTCAATGCTAAAATATATTCATTTTTTTTCCCTTAAAGAATGGCTTGATGATATTGGTCTTCCACAATATAAAGAATATTTTGTTGAATCGAAAATTGATGGTCGTTTACTTAATAATCTAACTCTAGTAAGAAAAAAAACAATCATTTCAATTGATTATATTTATTCAAAATTTTATTTTCTAGGAAGATATTGTTTATTTAAATATAACTAATGAACTTCATCATTTAAGTATAAAACGTGCCATACAAGTTTTACGTTTAAATGGTTTTAATCCAACTTGTATAAAACGTCGTCCAAGTCCAGATGATAAAAATGATATGACAGAAATTATGCATTGGTCAAATCATCGCGTTATGGAATGGTTAAGATCAATTGATTTATCCGAATATGCACCAAATTTACGTGGCTCAGGTGTTTGTGGTGCTTTAATTGTAAGATATTTGTAAATAAATAGCTATTTAATTTTTCTTTTTCAAAGATCCTAGAATTACGTTTTAATGCTTCGACATTAGCAGAAATTTTATCTATACCAATGTCAAAAACATTATTAAGACGACATTTAACAATGCGCTTTCAAGAATTAATTGGTAATGATTTACAAAATCGTAAAAACCAATATGAAAAATCACCTAATTATCAACCATTAACAGCACATACAAAAATAAAATTTTCACGTGGTTTATTTGCACATCGACGAACACGTTCAACTGAAGCTGATGATTTAGTTTGTCCTATAAATGAAAATGGCATTCCAAATGGGATATCACCCAGTCTTAAGGTATATTATTATATCAGATTATTTTTATTCTTTATTTTTATTTTTTGTCTAATTACAATTATAATTCATTATTTCAATTATAATTTAGCGTTTTCAGCGCAAAGAAACATCACTGGCTGATACTGTTGAGGATGAAGTGGGTTTTCTTTTTTTTTTGCTGCTCTCTATTCAAAAAAGAATATCCGATTTGCATGAGTGATTTTTTTTATTTTATGAGCATGAGTAAATAACTGCTCTTTACTACTGGGCTATTGACATATGAATTATATATTATTTATTTTTAAATAGAACTGTTAATTAATTTATTTTGTCTTTTTTTATTTTAGCTTGTTCTCGCTCATGATAGCCCAACAACGGTTGTTTAGAAAATAAATGAGTCAAATGTTTTTTTCTCTTTTGTGAAATCAATGGTGCTGGATGTATAAACATAAAAGAATTCGTTTTTTTGTGTGCATTTCTTTTTTGATTTCTTTCTATTAAGTGTATCTATAACGTAGAATATTAATTTAAATAAAACGAATTTGTTTTATTTATAAATAAACTTCGTAATGTTATATTAAATACTATAGTGTAAAAGATTACAATCGAGAAACGAAAGTTTACCTGTGTCTGGATGTGACATAATAACGTTTGGTAACTATAGTATGTCTATCGTATTCATATCTCAAATTATTATATAGCAACCATAATACAGATGAGCATATGAACTATAATAACATTTTGACAAGTAAATTACAAAAAACATAACTTTATATATGATGTATGAAAATGATATCTTTGTTTTTGAGTGCACTAAATAAGTTTCACTAGTAACTTTTCTAACACATATGTCATTATGCTGTCAATCTAGAACCAAGTGAACCAACTGTCTGTCGATAGAAGTTAGTTTGTATGCATTAACCCTTTGAGACCCACAATTTAATCTATGGACGAAACCTTTTAAAAACTTGATATTTTGTATGAGCATTGAGTATTATCGACACTTCCATTGATACTTTCAAAAAATATTTTAAGTCATTTTTAACTTTAAGCCGTATCCCCCTACGGGAATGATGAGAAATATTTTAGCCACTTCCTTGGAGGTGTACGAACGGGAGCCTAAAAACTGACTCAGTAGGGTTTTTAATCTCGCACAAATATGGCCTAACTACGAACATTTGTTAAATATATTGGAAATTTTTTGAAAACTAGAACTTTTCGCTAGGTGGGACATATATGTCCCACTGGGACTCAAAGGGTTAAATATGTATTTGAAACTCGTGAGACTGACAAAATTTTATTTCTTTCTACATATTTTTTTCACACTCCATATCCATAGAAGATGCATCGTGTCAACTATTCAACTTAATTTACAGAACGTCTTTAATTGAGAACTATTTCTTTTCTTTCCAATTTTGAGATCAATAAAATATTCTATTCATGATTTCTCATATTTCCTTTTCAATTGCATCTTTATTTATCTTATCGAAAAATGCATTTGTAGTTTTAAGACCATTTTTCTTCATTTCAAAATTATGAAATTGTTTTGATTTCAGAACGACTTTTAAATGTATAAATTATTGATGTCTTTTTTTCAGTTATAAACTCTTTTATTTGTATCATAAAATCTTGCAGAAAGTAGAAAAATATAATGCTTTTCTCATTTCATATATATTTGACCTATTTCACTTTTTATCAAAGAATTCTTCTGACTAAAAATATGTCAGCAATTTGATCATTAAATATTATGTGTTCTAAATTCTAATGAATATTTAGAGACAAATTGTGATTCATAATATCATTACTGGCTCTATTCTTAAGTGATACTTCATGTTTAAGATTACAATTGTTATTATTCACTCAGTCATCAGTGATTTCTTTTTCTCTATGACCATAAAAACAACAAATATAACCATAATATTCTCTTCAACTACGAAGATAAGCAATCAATTGATATAAAATTTATGGATAAATATTACATTGTCACTATATTCGTGTATTAAGAATATATTATTTAGTAAATAATACAATGTCATTCGAATTGAAAGAAAAAAAGGAATAATCATTTATCCTGAAGTTATGTATATTATATTCAAATTTTGAAAAAATATTTTTTTCAACAAAATAATAGAAGAAAGAAAAGACGTCATCAGCTTAGTTTTTCCAATGTAATCATGGAGATGCTGTTTTTCTATTCACAGGAAGTTGCTTGTTCTGTTCAGATGCAGTCCTCTTTTTCTGAAACAAAGTAGTTTCCATTATTATGATTCTAATAGCGATCTTGAGGATGTGGGTGTGTATTATATATCCATCATACGTTCACACCCAAATCCACACCCTCAAATGCGAAAAAGAGCAGAAATTGAAATTGAGAACAAAGGTACGCCAAAAGAACAACAGTACATATACAACTTACATGAAAAGTATATGAGAAGATTATACCTTCAATTACAACTAGATAAGCTCGAACAGAGATTCGTAGCAAATATGCCACCATCGTCACTTAATATTTTTGATAAATTAGAACTTCATGCAAAAGAATTGAAAGTAGAGAATCAACAGATCATGTCACTACGAGAACAATGGAAAAACGTGCTTCGAAAAACAAAGTTAGGCTTGACTAGTTTGATGAGCCAAGCGAAAAAGCTTGAAATAGATGAAGCAGAAAAACAATACCAAGCATTAAAAAATAAACTACCAGAACATCTCCGAGAATCATATGATATAATATGTCATGTTTCACATACGAGACACAAGCAACTTACAAAGAAAAAACTGAATTTTTTAACGAAAAGTGCGTATCCAATGAGCGAAAACTAGTACACGCCCTTACACATAATAATGCAGGATTCACTAAAGGAAAATTGAACCCACACCCACCCTCAATATTTCGTAAATAATTCAGCAAAGCTGTTAACAAACTAAAATAATAATTCTTCATTTATTTTAGAATGTGGACGAAAATGGTGCACTTATTCCACCACGAAGAATCATTGGTATTTTGAATAGCGTAGGTGCACTGTTTAATACATTTATTCACAGTTTTAATAACAGTTGGGTAAGCCATCATCAATCAACAATGGACCAAATAACTGAAACCCATCAGAAAGAAATTGAAGAATTAAAAAAAATCATCAAAATACAACTGAACAAATCAATCAACAAGATGAAAAAAATTTAAGTTCGATTATAATAGTATCAAATAATGTCATTAACATAGTCGCTGAAAATTCGATAAAACAAGTGGTATCCATCGTTAATATCTACTCTAATAAAACTTGAAATGCCACTCGCGCTCGTTAAATGGATTAATTCATGGTTAAAAGGAAGGTCTTTTGCTATACATCATGGAGAGGCCTCTTCAAGAACTATTAGAATGTTTGTAGGAGCACCTCAAGGTTCTATACTTGCTGCTACGCTTTTCAGACTTCATGTACATTTCTTACCAAGCATTTTCTTTCAAACTACATCCCATTTAGTTGCTGATGATTTAGCACTACTATTATTAGGATCTCTAAAGTTAAAATTCTCTCTTAACATTAAAGAACTAGAAAAAAGGGCAAAACTAGTGATGATACAATTAGAAGAATTTTCAGGTAACACATTATTTCCTGTAAATGTGATGAAAACAAAAGCAATGATAATACATAACGTGGTAGTGCCAATAATACCCAAAAAATAGAATATAAAAATCAAAGAATCGATTTTGTAAATAAATTCAAATATTTAGGAGTACAAATAACAACAAAACTGGGGTGGGGAGATTATATAGACTCGAAACTTAAAACTATAAGAAAAGAACTAAACTTGATTTATTTATTTGTTAATTAATTTTAATGATAAAAATAATTCAACTTCTCATAAATAATATTTAAACGAAATAGGCCATTATCAAATTTCTTTTTTCTTTTATTATAAGTTATGTATACAAACTGTATTTTAAGAAAGAATGGGTCTATCTCGAATGCATGAATAGTAAAAAAAAACTAATGAAATATAAAATCGTAGAAAACTGGCGCCATACTCTCTTTCTCTTCGCTATTTCACCTTTTCCTCACTTTTTACTGACCTTTTCCTTTCTCCTAACGGGTGGCATCCTGTCCAAACGACCTCTAAGCCGTGAACCTTGACCCCGAAAGAGACAGACATCGAACATAATATTTATATATATATATCGATGTGTGAGAGCGCGATGAGGGAAGAAAGAAACATTGAATGCACGCTTATTAGCATAAGTTGTCATATTCATCGCACATCTTCGCAGACACAAAATCACGTCATGTCACTTCAACAACAGATCCAAAATGAGAGTGACCAATTTCAAGCTCTCTTTAGTCGTTTATCTGATACGCAATCGAGTGAAGCTGCACTATCCGAAGCCCGATCCCACTTAATATCTTACCAAAATCAGGCTCGTCTTATACAAGAAAAGATTGATACGTTCACTGCAGCAGCCGACAAGGAGCACAAACGTTTAGTCGACATCCAAGGACATGGCATCAAACACATTTGGTACAAGATTCGAGGCCAACTCAAACAACGCTTAAATGAACAAGAAAAGAAATGGTTGATCGAGTTTGAAAAATGTAAAGAAGAAGAACAACGTTTAGTCGCTGTGCAAGAACAAATCTGCTCTACTCAGAACCATTTACATCAATGTGAAATCGCTTCCGAAAGTATATAAAGACCAAACGAGCATTAGATGAACTCTTTGAACGTTTCTTTGCTGGTACTACACCTTCATATCCGCATGAAGATACAATGGAACAAAACTTGAGAAGAGAAGAAGAGTGTCTAATCAGCCTGCAAAACAGTCACCGCAATTTAACGCACATCTTTCACCTACTGAAAAAAGCTCATCGAGCTGTCGTTGTCGCCCGACGAGCGCTCGATAACGCACTAGACAAGAACACTATCGATTTACTCACTAATTCTGGAATTATCGACATATTCGTGAGTTCCGACTTGGCTAAAGCTAGAAATGCTGCAACTAAAGCACAACAGTTTATCAACGAAGTCAGGCATTTGTACCCACATATGGCATATGTTGGTGATTTACATATCGAGCAAGACAATCTTATTTATAATATGATATTTGACAATATTTGGACTGATATGAATATGCGAAGAAAGATTCTTGAAGCATTGAGTCGCATATCTGGGGCAGATACAGTTTTGGCGCGTATATTATTAGAAGTTCAACAAAAGTTAAATAAATGCGAAGCTGATAGTGAGCAGACGAGCAAACATGTGAAACAACTGGCCGAGGAACATTTTAATGCACGGATCGCTATTGTCCGAAATATTATAGAACAACCACCTCCATATTCTATGCTATGTAATACAATCAATTCACTTCGACTATAGCTACTTTTTGTCGCTGCTATCGTTTACTCTCGTATTCTTCTTATGTTGATGTAAACTTGTCGTGGTTTTATGTACATTCATTTTCTGTTTTTAAAATAAATACATGTTCTTTATTAAAGCTACTCTGTCTTCGAATCTTTTCTAGTCACATTCTTGATGGTGGGTGTGAATGTCGATGTCGATATGGGTATGTAGTGGTTATAATATTCACACTCACACCTACCCTCAACGATAGAACGCAGAAAATAAACATCATTCTATGTTATAATCATTTCTATACGTTTTAAACTGATCTCTGATTTTGAGAAATTATCATGTAGCAATCATAATACAAATGAGTACATGACCTATAATAAAGTTTTGATAAATGCATCTCAACAAACATATAACTTTAAGGTGCATGAAAATGATTTATATTTTTTTGAGTACAAGTAATGCTTATTGCACTAAATAAGTTTCTAACACATATGTATTATTATGTCATCAATCCAGAGTCAAGTGAATCAACTATCAATTAACGTTATTTGTATATTCGTAAACGAATATATTTATCTTACTATCATTTAACATTACA